GGGAGCAGAGAAGGTCCTTGCACGAATGTGGCACGAACACCACAACTCCAAGATGTACACCGCAACGGCCTTGGGGGAGATCGTGTCACAACGAATTTGGACGAGTTTCAATACGATCAACTCCACTAGGAAGAAGGACACCAACGAAAAGAAATTGGTCCTCGATGAACGCAATAACATCACCGAGAAGGCCAACGAAGAGTGGGACGTGAGGGGACAGTGGATGCTCATCGACGCCATCGAAGCAATCCGATGGGCCTGGATACTCATCAAGTATTCCTCCGAGACGATTATCAATAAGTACGTCGACTGGTTCATCCGACTGGTCCGCAAACATTCACAACGCATTAACAACGTCAAGAGCCTTTGGGAGGAGTTCTCCTGGGATATCGCCATGCGGATGCGATCCAACGATACCTTCCAGATGATCACCGAAGACCTCATGAACGATTTGACACGAGTGAACGATGTGATGCAACAACCATTATCCAAGCGACCACGAGTCGGCAAAGGCTCCGAACAACCCTACAAAGGCAAGGGCAAAGGATACCAACAGAAATGGTCCCCGCCTGGACAAGGACGTCGATACCGACAATCCTGGAACACTACGACGACCCAGTGGCGATCCTGGCAACCGACGACACAACCATGGAGCCCCCCTTCTCTTCCGACCTGGCCGACCACATCGATGCCTTCCTGGACCCCATTAACACCATCCACCTTTAATACACCAACACCCGCCCCGACCATTCCCTTCAACCCGGCTCCACAAGTATCACAACGACCCCCCCTGGAACACGAAGGGAGAGAAAGGCACGAAAGGCGCCGGCAAGAAAGGCAAAGCCGGCAAGTCTGGGAAGAAATAGGGACAGCACGGCCCAGAGTCAATGGGCTCTGGAGCCGACCATCGAATGACAGACCCACACGACAGGATTTGCACACTTTGCCATGAGCTGGTGGGCGCCTTGCCGGTAGTTCACCTGTCCTTCTTCGATGGTATCGGGATCGCCTCCGAAGCACTCCGACGCATCAACGAGAACGTCATCCTCACCCTGGCGTGGGAGATCGACGCCGATTGTGCTAGTTTCACATCGAAAGTATTCCAATCCGTACACCTGGGAGACGTCGGACAGTTCGACATCGAGATTGTCGCAAGACACATCGAGAATGCAACGAACAACCGAAAGTACATCATGGTGATCACGGCAGGTCCTCCGTGCCCGGATTTCTCCGGCCTACGAAGCCAACCCAAAGGATCCGACGGCACCTCAGGATGGCTGTTCAAACACATGGTCAGCATCGAACATCAAATTCGACAACGATTCACGGGCGTCCCGATCGAGACGATCTTCGAGAATGTGGTACCCCACCCCGATGTACGAGACAACGTCGTGGAACTCACATCTCCGATGAGCATGGACCCGATCATCATCGACGCCGCAGACTCCGGAGTTATGCACCGCAAGAGACTGTGGTGGACATCGATCCCATGGGACACCGTCGAAGAGAGACTACCTCGTCTCACACCCTGGTCCCTCGAATGGCAAATAGATGGAGAATGGCATCGACTACACAACCCGATTGGCATCGACTTACAACCCCAGATTTCCGCAAAAGGTTTTTCCTTACCACCGTGTCTACACAACGACAAGAAACTGTTTCACTGCCTGACCACACCATCCACGTCGACGTTCGGACGAGAACCTCCGAGACAACTCCGAGACCGCACGACTTCACAAGACGCATGGAATCGATGGGAACAAGATCAGCGACGTTACCCGGTTTGGCAGTATGAAGAACAATTCATCGTCACTTTGCAGGACGGATCATGGACGACGGCTCCTTCATCTTTGCGCGAACAACTACAAGGCTTACCACTGGACTATACGGCGACACTCGGAAATGGCGATGAGACAAAACGTTGCACTGCTCTGGGCAACGCGTGGCACCTGCCTACGGCGATTTGGATCATCTTCCTGCTTCTACTAGGGACTGTCGATGCATCCATCCCGGAGACACCTCGAGTGTCCCCATTACAACAGATCACCTCCTTTTGGTTGCAGTCTAAGGTACCCTTTGGTCCACCACCCCGAACACCGAATCACGACTACATGCCACAGTTCTCCTGGACGGATCACCTCGAATGGGCACTACACAGAGACACACACTTATCACCCAAGAGACTCGATCCCACACTTGAGTGGTGTCTACAACACCGACATATTTTCCACCCACTCCTGGATTTCCAGAAGGCCGTCATCGCCGACATTCGTGAACTCGTCGAAGACATGGAAGAACACACGATGGCCTGGTTCAACACTCTTCCAGAACATGTACAACGAGCATATCGTCACAAGAACTCGGTAACACAAATACCTGTCCTCGTCCACCTTCTTCGAATGATACAATACCCACAGACCGAGCTGATCTACCGCGAGCTCTCCGAAGGCTTCCCCCTTATGGGGAAGCTGACTCCAGGCATCAACTGGCACGTGCGACAAGACAAGAAATACCTCGAGCCCACTCCCATTGAAGAGTTTCGCGTGAACAATCGACAGTACATCAAAGAGAAGATCGACAAAAACTCCGTTGACGATCACTGGGAACTCATGCTCGACGAAATCTTAGCGGAGGTCGACCTCGGACGAATGAATGGACCGTTCGAGGCACCGGATTGGTGGCCCCGGACGGCGATCGTCCCGACCAAGGGACGACACCGAAAATTATTACCATTGCCTCACTCCGACCCGTACATTGCCATGGCTTTCAGCATCGAACAGACGGGCAGCGACGGCAACAACAAAGTTCGACGAGGAGAAGATTGGCGACGAAGCGGACACAACGCGACGTGCACGATGCACGACCAACCATACCATCACACACCCGATCACTTCATATCCCTGGGACTCGCGACAATCCGACAGGATCGACTTAAACCCCTCTCAGTCTGGGGACATGACCACGATGGAGCTTATCGACAACTTCCACTACGAGATCCTCGCGAAGCATACGTGATGCTCCTCACACCAGACGGCCCGACACTGTGGAGCCACAACGTCCTGCTCTTTGGTTCGGCAGCCAGTGTCTGGTCGTATAACCGTTTTGGGGACATTCTGGTCGCGTGCAGTCGCACGATGATCCTGTCACCGGCGATGCACTGCGTCGACGACTATGGATCCATGGAAGACTCCGATCTTGCCGAGGGCAGCTTCGAATCCTTCGAGGAGTACAATAGTTGTCTCCAAATCTCGATGAAACCCAGCAAGAGACAACCACCTCAAACCGCACATCGGATCCAAGGTGTCATCATCTCCTCCGACAACGACAACTTGGTGTTGACTCCGTGTCCCAAACGCGTCGAGAACATGTGTAAGCAGATCGACGTGCACCTGGAGACCTCGTCATTGTCACCCGAACAAGCCAGAAAAATGGCTGGGAAGTGCAACTTCCTCACAGGCCGACTCTTCGGTAAGGTAGGCCGCGCGGCCCTGAAAGCATTATATGCCCGCGCCCATTCGTACTCACACGCTCTCGACAAACCTACCCGATCGTCACTACTTTCACTCAAGGACATCATACAACATTGTCGCCCAATGACGATACCACGACAGATGACTCGAACTACATACAGTGTCATCTACACGGATGCCTACTTCCGCCTGGGCGACCACACCTACAGGCCGGGGGACGACGACATCCCGAATTGGGACTCGAAGTCGACATCCGACATCGAGAACGGATGGGCTGCAGTTTGCTTCCACCACGGTGATGTGCAAATGGCAGCTTACTTCCAGGGTCGTCTCCCCTCACTACTCGTACGACAATTTTCCTCCGACCAGGCTTTCATTTACCTCCTCGAAGCTTGGGTCGCCATTTTGGCTCCACTGGTCTTCGAGCCATGGCTCGACAAGTTCTACGTCCAGTGCTGCGACAACGAAGCTTCTCGACACGCCCTACTCAAAGGCGTCGGCAAACATCAGCCCCTGAATTGCCTCATTGCAGCACACTGGACTTGGCATAATCGACGAAGTCTTGCACACCGACTCGAACGTGTTCCCACCAAAGCCAACATCTCCGACGGGATCAGCCGCTTCGAACATGTACCAGAGTCTTCGACTTGGACTAAGCTCGACTTACCTGTACACGCTTTGACCAGTAGGGCTGCGAAGATTATAGGAGATATTCATTTTGCTTCTTCTACGGGTTTTTCCGAACTACCCGAAATTCGCAGATTGCACGATCAGTTGACTACGATGCTAGTTTGATCATATTTCGAGTGGCGTTCGCCTGCGATGGGAGGACGCGACCACCTTCGATGGGAACCAGTCGGTCCTCCCAACAGAAAGAACTCTGTCACATCGATCTGTAAGATCGATGACTGCGATCTGTAAGATCGACTACGATCTGTAAGATCGAAACGCAGACATGACGCCACCGAAGCGGAAGCAGTTGGAAAAACTGCTCCGCATTTGCCAGGGATTCATGGCCTTTGTGTGAGATCTCCGTTGTCGTGTAGCACACACTTGTTTGTGCGAAGTGACAACATATTATCTCACTTGATCACCGAATCGGTCAGGGGATTAACTCACCGATTCAATTCGAACGATTGTATATTCCGTGGCCATTTTGGCGAAAAGCTGTTCCAGCTTGAGAGAAATTTTGTTTCACCCACCCGTCCCGACCCTCATTGGACTACTATATTTTCCTCTGCTTCCTGTCTGCGAGTACCGCCTGGGAACCAGTCGGTCCTCCCAACAGAAAGAACTCTGTCACATCGATCTGTAAGATCGATGACTGCGATCTGTAAGATCGACTACGATCTGTAAGATCGAAACGCAGACATGACGCCACCGAAGCGGAAGCAGTTGGAAAAACTACTCCGCATTTGCCAGGGATTCATGGCCTTTGTGTGAGATCTCCGTTGTCATGTCTGGTCTTGGCTGTGGCACGTCGGTTCGCCTCACATCCACAGGTTTGTTCTGCCTGTTATGCGTTGATAGGTCGTCATGGATATCGTGAACGGCTTCCAGATGAAGATGGACATGGACGCCCGGTTGCCTTCAGAATTGAATCCTAGCCTTTCAAGCCCGAAGCCCCAGAAGCCCCAAGCCCCCAAGCCCTCATTTCGCCACCACAGGAGATGTATGGTTCAACGAATGTGACAATGGGCACGATGTACGATTGGATGGAGTGCTTCTCGCCACCTGGCCTTTGAACTTTTTCGGATGTGGGGGTTGTTCTCGCTGCTCAGCTCACAGGACCGTTCGGCCTTTCTCTTCGTTGCTGAAATGCGGGTGTTTCTAAGCCATAAACATGGCAACAGACCCTCGAGTGACTCCTGGCGGTTTGCATGCAAGTGTTTCGTTGTGCAGGCTAAAAAGTGCGTGACACCGTGGTGTGCACACATAAATAGAGCGCGATTCTCGTGCGTTTTAGTTACCATAAACATGCTTTGGCTTTCCTTTCAGCTTTTCCCATGCGCATGAATCTACGAGCTCATTTCTCCACAACGGATGGCCGAGTCACATATTGCCCAGGGCCATCAAGAGCATGTCGGCCATGCTGAACCCGGAGCAAGACGTCTACGACAGCAATGGCTACACCACGAACAAGCACTGGGTCTCTGGCTGCGGCCTAAGAGCTAGATGCTATCTCCGTGCGTGCATGACTTGCTCGGCAAGGTTTGATGGCCTGTGTAGCACACGACCTGCCGATTGCAGGCCCCAACCACGTTTTCAAGAACGTCTTGGATGCCATGTTCACGGGCGCGTACATGGGCATGTACGACTCCTTCTTCCTCATGGAGTGGAAGGGGCAGCCGAAAATTCGAAAAAGCGAAAGTGTGCTTTTCTGGCAACTCACGATGCAACAAGCAGCGTCTAAGCACAGCGGGCCTAGTACTGCAGCCATCAGCATCTCATACGAGCACTCCTTATGGTGTGGCTCCAATGACAGGTATTACTTCCTGTTAAGTCGTAGATGCATGTTGAATGCGTCCCTGGTTACCCTTTCCCTTTCGCACCAGTTTAAACTGCTGCTTCAAACGCAACACGGAGCCAGAAAATCGCTTGCCCAGTCGAGAATCGTTCTGACAGAGGTAAATGTAAACTTGGACGGCATTGCAATCACTGCGACGTCATGTGTACCTCGATGCCGCTCTCAAAGCGTTGACGTGCAACCGACAAAATTGGACAGGAGATGGATGCGGTCCCTATCAAGGACAACTGGCTCGACCAGTTCGAGATGGAGGCGAGTCTCAGAAAATCTGGTGGCGCCATCTGGATCCAGCCCATTGCGCGACCATAGATCACGTTTTGTTGGTCAGTGTTGTTCTGCAGGAGTTTCAGGAACCAATTTCAGCCGTCTTGAAACAGTCCTGGCAAACACCTGCCTCTTGGGACGTTGCACACAGCCGTTCGAGATTCCCGGAAGGTGTTCTGGTTTCCTTTCAGCCCAAAGCCCAAGAGACGAGCACTTGCCCTGCTTCTTGTGCTCATGCAGGCGCATGAGGTTCATGACAGCAACCAGGCGGTGCGTGGCAGCCAATACCTAGGCCTGCTTGGGGCCACCGGTGGGAAGCCCGAAGCCCCCTTAGCAGGTTGCAGACTCAAACCCGTCCTGGGCTCGGAGTTTCCCACGGCGCGCAGGCGACAAGTGGGATCTGTTCAAGCACCAGATGCCAGTGTACCTGGTCGACCACATCAACGGCAACGCCATCTACAACCTGAAGCACCCCTGGACCAAGCTCCTTGCTCCCAAAAGAGCCAGGGCTGTGTAGGGTTCCTCAATCCTCATCGTGGGGTACTTAGGCGGTGCCGGTGCTTTTTTTCCATAACTCCGAGTTGGCTCAGGTATTTGTACGACACCTTCACGATGGTGGGGGATGCGAGCATGATGGAAGAAATGGCCTTCGACGTCGCTTTTGCTCCGTGGCAGAGGGAACGGTCCTGCAGGTTCTGCAGAGGTGTGCTAGAGAGTACTTTTAAAGTTTGTAAAGTGCCCAGTGCCGCCCCTATTCTGGACGCTTCGAAGACCAAGGCCATGATCACGATGGCTGCCATGGCGGGGGATCCCATGCACCTAACCTGTACTGAGCTTCACTGGTCATCGGATCGACGGTCGGTTTTGGCATCACAAAGCCCTAAGCTGCAGGAATCACCCCAAAGAGAGTTGTTGCCGTTCAGAAAACGTCCTGAAGCTTCTGATTCCTGCCAAGGTATTCTACAAACTGGACCGGCGACAACATGACTTACAACACGCACACCATGCTCGTGGGCAACTACGTCACTGGCTCAGCACTTCGTTTGCCGCTTTCGTGGTTCCGTCCATGAAGTTTTCAGGCCAACACCCTCCTGAATACGAGCTACGAGTTCGGAACCTACATCCGTCACGGCTCCGGCAAGAATCTCTTCGAGAACTTGGATGCCGCGGCCTAAGCCATGCCCTGCCGATCTAAAGCAAATCACATGCCGCAATCGGCTTCAGGACGACGACGTCACGTTGGGAGTTGCGTACTTCGATCACCAGGGCCACTTCATGGAGACTGCCAGGGCCTCGTTGCGGCTCGTTGCACGTTTGAGCTGCAAGCGCCCTTGGCAGGTTCCAACGCACCATCCCTTCAAGAAGATCCTGGGCATTACCTACTTCGATCAGCCCAACTCTACCCAGACGATTTCCGCCCCGGGCGGCAGCTCGGCATCGAATTGACGACCATGACGACACCAGCCACGACGGCGATGTCGATGGTGGTGGCGACGGGGGCTGGCAACTGCTTGCGGATGTTTCTGCTGCTACTGCTGACTGATGGATCTGAAGATTATTGATGATGCTTGATATGTTCCTGTCGCGGTGTGAGTTTGGATTACTGTATCCACAATGATTTCCATTAGTGTTATGTAGGATCGTAGGATCAGTTTACGCTTCATTCTGAGTTCAGGCGATGTCACCATGATGATGCAGAAGGCCATGGATCCCCCTTACTACCACCTCTGCGAGATTGCCAAGTTGGCGGACACCGAGTGGTTTGCCAGGGCCCAAGTGTTGCTCTGCAGTATCATGCCGTAGCGTATCTCCTCTGCACAAGGATTGTACTGCAGGCCACGAGTTTGGAAGAAATCCTGTACCTGAATCCGAAACCACAATCCCATGGCCCGAGCCCCGACCGGCTCAAGCAACGTGCAGCAGGCTGCTGTGCTGGCGTAGCTCAAAGCATCTTTATACCGTGGCTAAAGGACCAGCAGCGTTGAACCGGTGACATTTCTGCACAGAGACTGCCCCGCGGATGTCCCTGTCGTTGGTTATGCTGCGTGCACTGCATCTTACGAGGCCCTCACTGACAACTACCACATCGTGAAGGCTCCTGTGAGCGTCCTCATGGATGAGAGCGGTGAGACACTTTGACTGCACCCAAATGGCTACAACTTTGGTTTCCATACCGGGTCGAAGTCCTTTCATGGACCGAAGTTGGACTCAGGATGAAGAAGCCAGTGCTGCCGTACGTCCTGAAGGACTCCAAGTACTGTGGCGAGCGTCCGAACTGCAAGGCCTCCATGGAGCAGGCCAGGCTCAAAGCGGCTCAAAGTGGCTCAAAGCTGTCCGTTTAATACTTTAGTGCCCGTAATGCCTGTACTGTTGTGCGACTCTGCGATGCTTGGAACAGCAACAGCATTAACACAGCGAGACATCGGCGATGTCGGAGCACCCAGCCCGACACTTCGCACTCTGCATGCCGTGCTCGTGCGGTCGCAGTCCTCCAGTCGAAATGTCAGCAGCACCGTCCGAGCCCAACACGCTCTGCTAGGCCGAGGATCTCTTCAGCATTAACTTGAACTACCACCACGACAAGTACGAGGTGCTGTACAAGACCGTTCCTGTGGCCACAATTAGTCAAAAAGCGACAAGCCACTCAAACACATTCTGGTGAGTGGGGTATCCCCATTTTCGTAGCCGGCCATGAGATGGGTTTGGGATTTGGGGTAGCCCGAAACTCTCATCCAAATTGTCTCCAAATCGGCCGTGAGCCTGTTGTTGCCGTTTTCTCATGGTGCCAGGGAACTCGTGCTTTCTGAGATCGTCAGAGCAGGTGGTCCGACCAGAAACTTCTACCTCGAAACCTCAGGCGTTCCTCTGTAAGCCCGCCTGGCGAGCTCTCTATCTTGGATGTAGAGGTTGCTCTGACAAGTCCAGAAGCAGATCGGTAGCTAGTGCTCGCAATGCTCTGTTGAACTCCTTAGAAACGGTGGAACTAGAGCTCTGAATCCTGAGCTCCGTGCAGTCCCTTAACTGCCCTGAATTTTGAAGTCTCCGAACTTTACGCTCGTGGCTTGGCCCCAGAGCAAGGCTGATGCAAGGATGTTCTGCGCCGATTGGGACGAGGCCACCAAGGACAAGAGCTGGGGCTCCTCGGCTGCAGGGAGAGCTGCCGCAACGTACTTTCGAATGTGCTGCGACTTCGGATCACACTGGCGGTGGATGTTGTCATGGCAGTCGCAATGTCGATGGTGATGAGTGATGAAGTCTGGTTGGAGGAGGATGTCCGTGAGAATCGAGACGATGCTGCTTCCATGGTGAAGTTGATTCTCATGTCGATGCCGCTGCTGCCGCCGCTGATGCTGATGATGCTGATGACAATGAGGAGGCCGAGGTGGCATGAGAGTGTGGTGCACCAGTACTACTGTAACTATGGCGGGGTCTTGGAGGATGCCCGGCCGCAAGTCTTAAACCTCAGACCCGAGCAGGCAGAGGGGCGGGGCAGAGGGGGAAAGAAGGTGGTGTGGCGGTGAATCCATGCCATTTGCCCGAACCTACCTCTGCCTGATAGGCATTCCGACTAAAGGGAAACTGGCAGACGGAAAAGAGGTCTCAAAAGAAAAGACCCGAATTCTAATAGGCTGGTTTCCGCACGTCCGAGCCCCGAGCCCAAAGCGGGACCGCACACTCGAAAGCACAAAGCACCCCCCTTGAAGTCTGGTGATTTGAGTCTCTTCTCCCTAGGCAACTGCAGCCTGGCCTTCGGCCCCACTGCGGATGCTGCGGATGCAAGAAGTACAAACGCGGGCTCTTCAGAATTCAGAGAGATCCTGGCTCTTGTCATTGCCAGCTCAGGGAAGAAAGAGGTCGTGCCGTTACCGTTAAGCGGACTCGATCTTGCAACAAGAGAAATGTCTGTAGCTCCAGTGTCTGAGACTTGCTAAATCACCCTCCTGATTGTTGAGCTGGCGTTAATGTCTTAAGTTACCGTCTTTCTGTGACAGCGACCAATGTGCAGCCGGGGCAACGTTGAACCTAAGAAACAGCACAGCTTGACAACATGTTCAGCAACCTCCGCGAGCTGTAGGTGTTGCACGTAGCGAGCTCGGATCTGGAAGGCTTTCGAGTAAACGGCGATGTAGAGCCATATATGCAATGGGGACACCTGCAGAGTCGATAGTACAACAGTGCTACGTTCGAACGCGACATAGATGAGAATCTGCAATGAGATAGCTCGAACAATCAGTTAGCGCAGAATGAGTCTGTTACAACATGGTCATTCACGAAGCATTGGGACGATGAGACAAGACTCTCGAAGTTGAGGCTAGTCAAAATTACATTCAGAAGCCAAACGGCATGCCACAATGCAGCATGACGAGACAGTTGCCTCATCTGAAACAGCGGTATTTCCAGCGGCGGTATTTCATCGTAGCTTGGAGTTTGCATATTATTGAGGCAGTGCAGAGTCAGAGTGTCAGATGTGCCGGGTAAAGTCTTCCCGTTTGTCGAGCGTAGCGGCATAGGCTTCATGGGTCCGGCGGCTTCTGGGGCCCGGCCTGAGGTCTGTCTTACAGTTCATGTAATGGAACTGCGAAGGCTTACGGTACAGTGTAGGGGCTCGCAGATGCTGTTTTTATTGGCCAGACTTCCGCAGGGTTGAGTTTTCAGCTTTCAGGTTTCTTCTTGGGCTCGTACTGGAATCCAGGAAGCTGTGACCCAAGAACTATCGACCATTGGAAGTGAATGCATGTAGCGCTTTGATTAGGCTTATTGGAGCAGTTTTCGCCCCAAACTCTACTCGTAAAGTATTCAGGACGACTACATTGCTTGGAAGATCAGCTCGCCAAATTACAACATCTCTGATGAGTTCACCCCGAAGGACAAGGCAGGTGCTCCGGATGTAGGGTAGACCTCGCACAGTAGCACAATGTGCAATGGGTATGCACGATAATATGATATCACGCAGTGCAGTGCAGCGGAAGACATACGTCTGCACGACAGTACAACACCGGCCAGTTTGAGGCTGACTGCTGTAGAGTAGTGCAATAGTGCAAGGATAAGTGGCAGGTCGCATTGCATAGCAACACAGATGCCATTCCAGAAATACGTTTCGACTGATCACAACTGGTTTACCACCGCAGCGCACTGAAATGGTGACCTTGAGGGTTGCATCTTTCACGCACGTCTGTGTCCATTCAGAATTCCGACATGATGACGAGAAACGAAGCAACGTCAACAGCAGCAGCTGCATGCCTGAAGCATCAGTTTTGTTTCGGAGGCTTCTGTCGTACTGGTGCGGAATGTCTGCTAGTTGAAAGGAAATTGACCCTAGCACATCTTTTTGTGTTTCGTCGCGTGCCACGATGTGCCCCGCGCAGCCACATTGGCAATTAGCATCATCAGCCCTTACTGAGTTTTTCAGGCCTCCGCTTGACCAAGACACAAAATCTGTCCGCCCAGACGCGCTACGGCTGGAGAGCCTGGACTAGCTTGTGGAATCCAGCTCCGGTCGATGACCGCATGTGCGACACGACTTTGTACGGTGTCAAGGACGGCCTGGACCTTGTTTGGTACCACTTCACCCCAGCATCCCTGCCAACATGTCTAGTAGCACGATTAGCTCCAATGCTATGTTGCCGTCATGGGCTCCTCCGCTGTGTGTAAAACGGTACTTAGCGCTTGCAGCAACTGGTACGGTTGATGATATAAATCCTGCATGACTCATAATAAGGAATATGCCATAATACGCATATATTCCTTATTATGAGTCCCGCGGGGACTATCATTATGAGTATCATCCCTGCCACCACGTCACGACGGTTACGACTATACTTCTACCAACCTCTTCTGCTACTTCTTGTCTGCCGACTGCTGTTACTGCCCGTCCTTTTTCAACATGTTGTTGTTGTTGTTGTTGTTGTTGTTGTTGTTGTTGTTGTTGTTGTTGTTGTTGTTGTTGTTGTTGTTGTTGTTGTTGTTGTTGTTGTTGTTGTTGTTGTTGTTGTTGTTGTTGTTGTTGTTGTTGTTGTTGTTGTTGTTGTTGTTGTTGTTGTTGTTGTTGTTGTTGTTGTTGTTGTTGTTGTTGTTGTTGTTGTTGTTGTTGTTGTTGTTGTTGTTGTTGTTGTTGTTGTTGTTGTTGTTGTTGTTGTTGTTGTTGTTGTTGTTGTTGTTGTTGTTGTTGTTGTTGTTGTTGTTGTTGTTGTTGTTGTTGTTGTTGTTGTTGTTGTTGTTGTTGTTGTTGTTGTTGTTGTTGTTGTTGTTGTTGTTGTTGTTGTTGTTGTTGTTGTTGTTGTTGTTGTTGTTGTTGTTGTTGTTGTTGTGTTGTTGTTGTTGTTGTTGTTGTTGTTGTTGTTGTTGTTGTTGTTGTTGGTGTTGGTGTTGGTGTTGGTGTTGGTGTTGGTGTTGGTGTTGGTGTTGGTGTTGGTGTTGGTGTTGGTTGGTGTTGGTGTTGGTGTTGGTGTTGGTGTTGGTGTTGGTGTTGGTGTTGGTGTTGGTGTTGGTGTTGGTGTTGGTGTTGGTGTTGGTGTTGTTGTTGTTGTTGTTGTTGTTGTTGTTGTTGTTGTTGTTGTTGTTGTTGTTGTTGTTGTTGTTGTTAAATTTTCAATGGCTGTCCTTGGTCAGGCAATGTTTGGGCATGCGTGCGCCGTCGCTTCTGCACCAACTTGTTTTCATGTTGTAGTTATCGAGTTCAGGCCGAAAAGACGGTGCTGTCAGGATAGCTCTCTAGTCCAAGTTGAGTTGCCCTTGTTGGGCAGCAAAGGGTCAAAGGTAGTAGATTGGGTTGGGCAAGAGCGACCATTGTACTAGCTCAGAATCGATACGCATACTATCGCAATCGTGAGACTGGCACGATAAAAAGAAGCCAGACACAATGCCTACCGTGACGCTGGCATTCATGATATTGGGTACCTACTGCGTAGTCGTATCTGTTTGAAGACTTGGCCTCAGACTGTGCATTTCCTTCTTCGCTTGCAGGAGTATCTTGAGACGCTCGGCAACATCTCGTCCTGCGCCGTTGACTATGCTCCTTGGCAAACAGCGCCAATCTTTGGTTCAGCTGACCGAGCGCCGGACTCCCCTCCAAAAGCAGGAGGTGATTCTTGACATGCACGTGCCCAGATCAGACAGGCAACATGAAGGACATCTTCGATGGTTTTTTCGAAGTAGAGTGAATTAACAGAGAAGCGGAAATAGAAAACTGCGGGACGACTGAGCGAGAGACGTGCATGTTGAGAAGGATAGCAAGAGCAGGAAGATCAATACCGACACATTCTCGGAACAAGAAGACCGAAATTCATTGTGCCCAATATAAAGTCCACCGTGTGAAGGTTGAGAACGCTTCGGGCTGCATGGCGTCTACCCACTGCATGTGGAGGTGGGGCAGTTGTTAGTGAAGATTGTGAGAACAGTTCAGAACTAACACCAAGGACAATACATGGGTGGTTGTCAAAATTCGGGCCCTTTTTTGGGTACCCTAAACATTAGGTGCCGTACTATAGTAAGGACCCCAAAAGGGACCCTAATATTGACAACCACCCATATAGTTCCATGAATGCCAAAATCATCATGGCTGTAGCAACAGCAACCTGCGCGACCGCCATAATGTTCCTCCTCCTCCTCCTCCTCCTCCTCCTCCTCCTGCGCCTCCTGTTCCTCCTAATAGCTGCTGTTGCCGTGGTCATCACCATGATCCCCATCGACATCCGAGAAAAATCTCTCACCACCCCCGCTCGCCCGCCCGCCTTGCCGCCTGCGCGCGCTGCCCGCCGCCCGCCCCGCCCCGTCGCCCCCGCCCACCCGCCCGCCCACCCGCCTACCCGCGCGTGTCCTTTACGCCCGAGTCGCCGCGACCGCGCCCGCCTACCCGCCGGGCTCCCGCCACCAGCACCAGCACCAGCACCAGCCGTGTTGGTGGACACCAACACCAACACCAGCCAGCAGCTGCATCGTCATCATCAACATCATCATCTTCAGTCTTGTTTTCATCTTCATCGTCATCACCATCACCATTACCATCTTCATACTCATCGTCAAGGTCGTCCTCGTTCTCGTCTTCATCATCCCCATCCCCATCCTCGTTCCCATCCTCGTCCGCATCCTGTGCTCATCCTCAACCTCGTCCTCATTTGGTAGTCACCGCTACCAGGTATTCTTCGGTCCTCGAGTCTTTGCATCGAATTTTCGGGACAGTTTGTAGGATTTTGGGGTTTAGGAAGTCAGCATAACTTTTCGTTCATTGTGAGGCTCACGATTCACAGTGAGTCTGGCTTCAATGTCTTGACAGGCAATTTTAGCTCTACACGCTCTGTGCCTATGTCTGTTCCACGTTGCAGAGTTGGCAGTTGCCACATGTGCGAGGCCCATGTTCGAGTCCGGTGTCTGCCTGCTGAATCCGATGAGCGCTGCTCTAAGCTCTCAGAGACTTAGACCCGTGCACTTGAAAGCCTTGCGTTGAATGCGCCGCCTTTGCTGATACGTCCGAACGATGGAGTGGTTGCCTTTCAGCGATTTGGAACCTGAGCGCAGTTACCGCCACGGATGCCTGTGAAAATCCGTCACGGCCTTTTGCAGTTCACTCTTGGCGTATTGTCGGCAGTAGGAAGAGCAGGAGAAGAGGATTTCAGCCCTTTGTGACGGCAAGGTGTCATGCCGACGACCACTGTGCTCTCGGCTTGAGTTCAGACTCAGACCTGAAGGCTTCTGAAGGTCTCTGAAGGCTTATAGGCCGTTCGAAGCTTCTGGCTCCAGGGTTTAGACTTGGTTTAGGCTGCCTGTGACACGTCAGCTTCAAAAGTTGTGCTTGCAGGTGCCTGGGCCTTGAGCTGTACTGCTTGTAGGGACCACGGAGCAGCACCATCGACCCTGGTCGTGTCGTTTAAGCAGGTACCGGATTACGAGGGAAAACTCAGGCCAGAGTGAGTGCGAATTCAGAGTGACCTCGAGAATCCTGTCGGTATCTTCAATTGGGATACAGTGTAAGATTACACGGTCCCATGAGCCGCATTGTAACGTCGGTTGACGAGAACCGCCGCCCGCGAGCCAAGGTGGAGGCCGGAACCTGAGCTTTTGGGGACTCGGGATGGGGCTTTACCTTGAGAAAGGTCCGTGCAGAAGGGATGCCAGTGTTGTGGGGTGGAGTCTCACCAAACTTCTACGCGCAGAGAGGCAGGATCTGTACGGACACATCGTTTTTGTCGGGGCGTGTCAGAGTTGTACGTTACAGCTCCGTGAACTTCCGATGCCCAAAATGGTTCCGAAACTTAGTAATGACGCACAATCCAAACCGTTAAGCCGCTAAGCGACAGCATCAAGGCCAACGCACTGGAAACCCCAAGACCCCCCTTACATCTCGAGACCCAGGGAGCGGTCTTCAGCGTCGTCGAGACCACTCTGGAGCTCACGGTGGCAGACGCTCAGGCGGTCATCGACGATGCTCGGGCCCCGTCTCCGAAACGACAGCCGAAACAGCGCTGAAATCATTGCTTTGCCCTCAGACCTGGATTTTTGTTCTTGTTTTTCGTTTCGGAAGCATCACTACTGTCCTGGTCTCCTTGTATATACAGGTCTATCAGTTTACGCTCTCCGACCGTTGAGTCGTTGCGCACAATCGTCCGACTTTTGCGTTACGTACTTGTGTGCTCCAAGAAGGAAGCATGCCTCGCAACTTCGGAAGCTCAGAACCTCGAGGGACAAACAAGATCACCAGCCTCGCAAGCATCTTTTCTTGCCGAGGCTGCCTTGAACACTGCCATGAGGCAGGTTGCAGTGTTCGTTTTGGGTTGTCTACCTGGCTTAGGTTCAGGGTTGGATTGAGGTTGTGAGGGTCGAAAGCGCTTGAAGGTTTCATTGAGAATTTGAGAAGGCAGGAATTTTGTGTATAGATACATGCAGCCATCCGGCCATCCAGCCATCCAGGCATGCATGCCTGCATGCATGCACGTTCGCATACTTCAAAAGCAGACGGGGCAGCCGCAAGCTTCTCCGATCTGAGATTGGCGAAGTGCGGACTTCTTCTCATGATGGCTGTGACGAGCAAGAGGGAGGTGATGATTGATGCCGTTTTTGGTTTTGACGATGATGATGATGATGATGACGATGATGAGATTGCGGCTGTTTGTGCCGATCACAGGGATGTCCCTTGCTTACTGCGCTTCATTTAAAGGGGATAATGTGGGATATCCCTATCTTAATTTTTGCTTATGTGGTTTTTTTGGGTCCTACCGGGTGGCTGAATACCCAGGGTTTCTCTGCCATCATCATCATCATCATCCTCATCATCATCCACACCTTCATCATCGTCATCATCATCAGCGTCATCATTACAATTAGTATTATTATCATCATCATACTGGCGGGTGATTGAGATGGTTCGGGTGCGTTTGATGGGAAAACGGTTGTAGCTTTGCTGGTGCCTCTGCGATGCAGCATTGCTGCCCGAAGAAGATGAACACACCCCATGTATTTCTTGAACTTTGTCTAATTGCGCTGCGGTGAAAGACCCGGTCGCCATATTTGATGGTGATGCCCGCGGCGGCGGCAGCAACAACGGCCAGGGATGATGTTGATGACGATGATGATGATGGATGATGATGATGATGATGATGTTTGTGATGATGGTGATTCTGATAATCGTGATGCCGGTGATTGAGATGATGTTGATGCTGACTGATACTGCTGATGACGATGAGAACGACGAAAATGAGCTGGGTCACCTTCGGCATTGGCTGTTGTGTTTAACTAGGCTTAACTCTTACATATTGAGCAAAGACATCCTGATCATGACCATCATCGTCATCATCATCATCAGCATCATCATCGTGGTCCCGTCATCGTTACCATCGTCATCATCTGTGTCAGAAGGTGTACTCTCAGATTTTCCGTGTGTATTCCCTTGCATCCTTGGCCATGTTAGGACTGGGTCATTGCCGCATAAGCTCTGATGAAAAGGAAGTGTGGTTGATTTTGAGCTCGCCTCTGATCCAGAGCTCTTTCGTCGAAGGACGCAGTTTGCGGCTTTGGTGGACGTGACCGTGGACCCTCGGCTGCTGTCTGTCTAGGAAAGTCGATGACGCCCCGGGCAGTCCGTTTTTTTGAGACAGCATCGGCCCAGCTAGAAGAGCCCCCTAAAGACCTGGACCGAAGGATGAAAATCTCAAGAGCCCTCGTCTTCCCAAGGACAAGGTGATGTTGGAGTTCCAGACATCCCGACGCCTCAGCAACAACATCAGGAGGCTGGCCGAGAAGCTTTATGCGCCGGGGCCCCAGAATTGAAAGATCTCAGTTCCGGGACGAGGACTTTGATTGAAGAGCCTGAACAAGCATGATATACTCCAACACATCGAATCTTGTTCTGCTTCCTTGCAGATACGGTCAGGACCACAAGCTCTGGAAGGCGATACAGTCCATAACGGCTGAGGATGGTTTGGAGGTGACTCACACGCGGAGCAAATTGGAACAGTAGTCTCCGAAGCACAACAGCACCAGACTATGCAAGAAGTGTCTTTTACACAAGCACCAGTCTCATACCATTCGCGACGAAGGGGTCTGCACACTGGCAGACCACTCCACATCCACAGGGCGCAGTCCAAATTGTTTGGCTATGTTTTGCAAGCAGCGCTGCTGGACGTGCCAAGAGACATTCAGCATCCTTCTTCCTGCACCATGGGTCGCTGTCCCAGGATCTTCACCGTTGCGATGGACAGCGTTGCCGACGCTGAAGCGAGCCTGGGCGGCCGATTCAGACGTGTTTTTTGGGCTTCTTTTTCGGACTCTTTGGACTCTGGTAGGGGGGGGCGAGCTTTCGTTCATGTCGGCCAGCCTCGATCCTCGGGCTCCCGCTCTGGGGGGCACCCCAGCACTGGAGCCTTCAACTTCTGCAACCCGTGGCAATCTGACACAGACCGGGTTCGGAATTTTTACGCGTCCGAAGTCCCAGGCGTCCTAAGCCTCCACGTTTTGGAATATAGCATACCCAGGAAGCAAGTTGCCATCGAGACCCTGTCTCTGTCGCAGACCACCGAGGCCGGCGTTTGTGGGTAGCTCGAGGAAGGGAAACAATCCTGAGGGTCGGGGCCGAAAGATCCTTCGTGATGCTAGCAGAGTGATGCGCCCTTTACCACAGTGTAGCACAACCACATGTTTGTTCACATGCCTTTCTAACATTGATACACGTGCAAGTACATAGCAAGTACATAGCATCCGGTTTAGAGTGGCTTGTGGTGGCTTCTCGTGCGATCGGAACTTGGAAGACTCTTCAGCTCTATGCAAGTGTGGTCGGCCTTGTGCTCTTTTCGGTTTCTTGAGCCCTCATCCCAAACCGCTGAATCCAGTCCTAAACCCGTCTTACATCTGAGCGTGAGCATTTCCCAAGGCGGGACCTTGTGTCTAGTTTATCAGGGCGATTGGGATTTGTGTGTTCTTGGCAGTGCGTCCAGGTTTTCCTTCTGAGAGAGTCTCGTGACGTGGGGTTGATGTGCCCCCCGACTTCGGTTTCAAAGCTCAATCTGGACTCAAAGCTGGTGCCTGACGAGCCCAAAATTTATAATCATGGCTGAACTGAAAGGCCCTTGCCTCTAGATCTTGAAGTGATCCAGGCTTCCCTGAGCCAAGGCTTACAGAGGCCCCCTTTCCCCCCCGCCCCGGTCGTGTCGGGTACCAAGGCCATCACCATGGCCGCTGCGGACCGGGCAGCCCAAAGTCGATGTCCTGAGGGTTTCGCGAGTTTAGGGTTCGTGCTGCCATCAGGATTCGGCAGGCGGTTGTCGAGGGAATGCCAGACTTGTCGACCGAAGGCATGATATGAGTCAAGAAAGACATCACAAACACCAAGACATCACTAAGACAAGAACCTGCATAGACTCTAAGCCTGTTCCTGGCTTGCGCACTTTCACTGCGAGTCGTCGCCGTGGATCTCCACGCATCCGCAGCTCCACCGAATCCCTTTTTCTTTCTCGCTTCCTTCGTTGCTCTGTGCAGGACGCGGGCTTCACAGGCAGCCTGGAGGCTGTGCCGGGTAGAAGCCGCCGTGTTAGCATTACGGAGCTTTGTAGCAGCTCCGTAATGCTCTGTAGATGCGGAAAGATTTCCGAAGGCTTCCCAAACAATCTGTGAATCTGCAAGCCAACGGTGCAACTGTACCAGAGTGCGAGGCGAGAATATGCAGAAGCATGCGGACGTTGGCACTGCAATCTGTTGAATTCAAAGCAGCAGGAAACATCAAGGTATTTAAACTACATAGGGCAACCACCGGTGAAGGTATGGAAAGATGAATATATGCTGCCGCATATGAATCACAAGAAACATGAGGATGTAACAATACTCGAGAGGAAATGCAGGGTCATGTACTGCAATCTAGGGTAATGTCAAGAAAGCAAAGCAATGCGAAACGAAGTAAGCTCAGCTAAAGTCATGTAAAGGATAACGCGTAATGTTTACCGTGTAATGTAGCACAACACTGCCATGCGATTCAGTACGGAGCGGTGCAGTCCGCGTACCCAAAGCCATTCATTTGATCGTTTTACGAGCAAGATAAACTAGACAGCCTCAAGTTCCAGCACCTTCAGGTGATGGGCAAGATGACTTCCCTTGTCCCTGCCAAGACCCTAGCGTGGGGGGGGGCGGGGTTGGAAGTAGTTCGAACCATCTCTTCGTTTGTTCGCCCTTTCAAGCTTAGCAAGCTGTTGTCTGAGGCCACTACCACCACCACCACCACCACGACTGTCGGCGGCCCAGACTTGACACATCGCTTCGGGTTGTCAGGGTATTGTAGCTCCGTCGGGTGGCAGTTGTTGATGTGCGAACACAAGACGGAACATGTCGATAGCCTGCGGCCTGTTGACACCAGCAGGGAAAGGCAATGACACGATTCGACATCCTTGTGAGATGCAGCCTCTGCTCCCTTTCAGGGAATTCCAGCCAAGACACCTTAAATCTTCCCAGGGCTACAAACCCGACCCATTTCCACGTCCCGACCTGGCTAAGACAACGACGACCGCCGCGACAGCTCGCGCCTAAGGGGGTTTCGGAACGCGAGCGGTCTGTGGAGCTTCGGCATGCTTTCACGAACGTCCAGGATAGGTGCAGGAGGAGCAGCAACAGGAGGCTCAGGAGTCGGAGGGGAGGAGACAGGAAGAGCAGGAGCGGAGCAGGAAGAGTGACGACGAGGATGATGCTCGTGTGGCAGTGATTTGATGGTAATGCGGGAATGCGGCAACGTGCCCGAGCTGCCGCTGACCTGCCTCAGGAGTCCAACACCACGACCACGACAATGATGTCGACGACGGAGGCCTTGCCTTCTTTGGCCTTCTTCTCTCTTGGGTCTCGCTCATGCTTTCGGGGTCGGCTCGTAGGGCGGCATGTGTTTCTTAGAGGCCGCAGACTGTCCAAGAATTCAGACTTGAATGATAGTTGCAGTGGATTGGCCTTCTTGCCGTGAAGGGTGCCGTGCCGATCGGCGCTGAGCTGGATTACTCCTTTGATCTACTGGTACCTGCCTTCGCACATTATACCAAAAAGTAGAGGTGCTCATGCATGACAAGATGTGGACAGGTAGTTGCAGCAAGCCAGAAAGGCATCGCACCGCAACACCAGAGAGGAGTGATGAAGAGGAGTGATAGTTCATCTGGAGCAGTCCAGAGTGCACTTGCAATGCATGTAGTCTGTGCAGTGGTGGTATTGTTGCAAATCCCGAAACCGGCAAAGAACATGCCGTTCAGGAAGATCACGGAACTTCGGCACAGACTGGATGCGCAGTATACGTGCATTTTGTATGCAACTAGCGATCGCAAGCATCGCTTGTAGTGGTCAGAGTCGAGGCTGTATCTTGCGACGGTCTCTTACGTGAAGTCGGTTCTAGGTCGGGCCGAGACCCAGCCCAAGGTTACCTTGTATGCCCCTCCCACGGCCCTCACACATGAAATTAACAACTTCTCTTGCATCCTGGCCCTGACACCCGGCAAAGCCTTCGGAGAAACGCACGCTTGCCAGGCCCTCCCGCAGCCGAGCTTCGCGCAGCATTTCGGCAGGCCGGATTTGCCGGTACATACCTGAAAGAGCTTGAGTCATGCGAAATGTGAGCAGTCAACCATTCATCAAATGCGGAGTCTCCGATCCCCTTTCTAGTCCGGCCCTGGCAATTTCGTTCCAGATGAGTAGGTGTGCTTGTGGTCGTGGTCTTCTTGGTTGTGGTGGTTGTGGTGGTTATAGTAGTTGTGTTGTTGAAGTGGCTTCTATGGTTGTGTTTGCGCTGTACCTTTTTTTTGTTAGATTGTCGTTGTCGTCGCCGTGGCGGTTGTGGCAGTGGTGGTAGTGGTTGTCGTCGTGGTGGTTGTCGTTATGGTTGTCGTTGTGGTGGTGGTAGTGGTGGTAGTGGTGGTGGTGGTGGTGGTGGTGGTGGTGGTGTTGACGTGGTCGTGGTTGTCGTCGCGGTGGTTGTTGTTGTTGCTGCTGCTGGTGCTGCTGGTGCATCTCTGCTGACTAATAGAATGATAGAACAGAAGCTGTCCGATCCTCATCCCCAACCTCATCCTTATCCTTCTCTTGCTCGTCGTTGTCATCGTCGTGCTCATGCTCCCCAAGACCATGGACAGCTGCACCTGTTTCCGAGCGGTCTGTCAGCTTCTCCGTCCTGGCGCTGCTGGCTGCTGCCTTCATGAATTGAGCACCTATAAGCTGCCACCTCAGAGCCAGAAGTCTCAGCGAGCTCCGGCCCACCACATCGAAGCTTGAGAGCCCGAAGCTAGGAAAAGACCTTGCAGTAACACCGAAAGGTATTAGAAATGCCCGAGCCTTTGGGGTGCAGGATTTACGAGGTTTAAGCCTTGCAGCTTTGTAACGACTGAGCTTTGAGAGCTCGATGTTCTGCCTGGTTTTCCTATAGGAAGCAGTGTGGTGTGTGCTACTGTGACTAATCTAGTAGAATGCAGCATACATTACCATACAAAGTACATCTTAATAGCACAGTCAGTACAACAAGACATCGCATGATCTGCGTCCTTCGGCCGCCTCTTAATGCAAGTCACTCGAAGACGCTGTTTTCTCACATGTGATGCACGGTGTGCCATGGAATTCTGTATTCTGCATGTCTGTCGGGAGCTTATTTGTGCATTCCAGTCTAGCATGATGCGGTAGATATGATCATGGATTTTCATGGAAAGAGGGACTAGTAGGGCAAGCTCTTCGGGTAGCACATGCGCATATCAGTGAGGGCCTGGAAGGCAGCATTCCTATAAAGTTCTGATTGTGAGACTGGTGTGAGGCCTTGCCTCTGCTGCCGGCTTTGGGGATGGGGGAGCATCGTAATGACGTCTTACGTGTTTTGGCGTCCAGAGCCCTGCCCTCAACCTTGCACGTCAAGGCCCAAACGAAGTGGACCCCGACATCCGAGGTGGTGCAGTGGAGCACTCCATGAGTGGGTGCCCGTTTTGGCAGGGTCTTGTGGCTGCATCAGCATTCCCGGGGAGGGTGTGCCAGGTATCTGGGTTTAGGCTGTTTTATCTCCCTCTCGCCGTAAGATTGTAGAAAACACTCCCTGCTACATCAGTTTGGGACATACCTCATGAGAGCATACCTTGCTTCACTGCTTTACAGAGGACAACGCCTTCGTGCCACTCAGCTATGTTACTGTCTTATACATGGTTTTGCCTGAGGGGGTGTGGTTTTGTGTACGTAAACACGGAGATGCCCGAGCTCCAACTGTATGGCTGCGATGGTACAGTAATGTATGTTACGTTGCACTGCATAGACTCCCAGCGATTCTACTACATGAGTTTGACAGTCCGGCGCATGCTGCTATGTCATAGTCTATGATGCATTGGCATGACCAAGGACATCTTATTGGGGCCTGTATCTGTGGAATCGAAAATGCACGCATGCCGTTTTGAAGCAGTTCGCCCTGAATGCAATGATCTGCTCGCACACCTTGCAGTAGCCTTCGTATATGGGAAGTGTTGTTGCCGTAGCGCAAGACACGTTAGCAACTTCGTGCTGGAAGCAACGCTGGGTAAGTTCATGCCGCAGATGCCGCAGTCCCTGTGCTGCCATGGGCCGCTGTGCACCTACGAGTGCAAGGTGCCTGTTGGCAGATTTCGTTTTCTGCACACGAGCTTGAAGTTGTTTCACCGATAACGACCACACAAGTGACGAGACCAGCACGAGAATCGTCTGCTCAGAACCACGAGGATAGATGCCAAGGCGTGACCGGGATTGTACCTAGTGCACGCATGCCATGTGTTGAAGTGCAGTGCTGTGCTGTTAGATCGTGTTGACACTGCAAGCCCGGTCGGCATGGACACGAGCACTCACAGGAGTGCAGGTCGTTTGTACAAGTGCCAAGCTCGTTTTGCATTTTTTGCATCATCTTCGATTTTGTGGACCCGTCAGCTTGGGCCGAAGTGCTCTAGCTGTGCGGCAACACCTCAACTGTTTCCAAAAAAATCCTCAATGACCGCATCATCTTCGGAGCAACATCTCAAGGTGTGGGCACTGTCCTGGTGAACTGCGAGCATGATGCATTGACAGGTTGGAGAGTACAAACTCAGGTCCGATGCAGCGGTATATGAGGAGGGGATGTATAAACGTCGTGGCATCGTGGCCGGTCTTCACCGGCCACGACGCCGCTTCTTGCATGATATGTTGCAGTCGCCATGCCAGGGCAGAGGACATGAATCAATGATATCTGTTTCCGTCGGACAGGCTGATGTTGTTCGCATTGACTTCGCAAGTTTGCAGAGTATGATACTGTACACGCGCTGGCTTGTCGTTTAGATTAGTGAACCTCCCAGGTGGCAACAACCACAGCAACGACATGGTTTTTACACCGAAGAACTGGCACGGTTCAGGTATATGTCGAAGACCAAAGTCGAAAACCCGGCATGGTACTGGTAGTCACAACGTGCGCGTGGACGCTACTGCTGCAAAGCTATTCAAGGACATATGAAACTTTCAGAGCCCAGGCTACAAAATGTCGAAGACATCTGAAGTTTATGAGCATGATTGATGTTTAGCGGTCCGTGGGTCCCCTGTAGACTAAGTGGATGTGTGTCAGTGTGGCTGCAGGAGCTAGTCATCTCTAGTTGATCAACAGGCTTCTAGTCGTCCACGGTTCGAGCACAACGAGTCAGCAGCTTGAGATCAGCGCGGTTCCTGCGCAGATGCCTGCAAGCCAAAAAGGTAGACGATTGATATCGACAGACGAGTGAAAGGGGGAAGACGCGGCTCAGGCTCCCCACTGTTTGCAGATCAAGGTTGCGTGCATAGGGTCGGTTCCTGATCGCAGCCACTGCTGCTCGGTGCAGCCACCAAGTCACGTTGTTCTGACTACTCTACATTTTGTATCCCGGCTCGGGTGTGAGCTCGTGGCTTGGCTGCACTTCAGGGCTGCAATGCTGGAGCTTCGCATCTTCACGGCCACAAACTACTCGAGATCACACTTCTGCTTTGATCCAGGTCAGGCTATGTGTTGATGCTTGTCCTTATTTTTGTGAGATCCGATAGGTTTGTGTAGGTGGTTGTCAAAACAACCAAGGTAACGTACGCAGCATTTATCTTTTTGGGCATGAACTCGGTACACTGGTAGGCTGGTAGTCGTCAGGATTGCAGGCATGGTTGCTGCAGGAATTGGATGCAGGTTTGAACAGGGCTGGGCTTCAGATTGAGAACTTCAGAGCCTTTGAACTTCGAATCTACTCCTGCAGACCGACCCTGCAACATGAGCGTACTCTGAGACCGGAAGCAAACCTCAGGCGACGGCGATGGCTCTGCGACTTGTAACCCTCGTCGTGCTGATGGCCGCGGCTTCTTGTTTTCAACAACCTGCGGAAATCCTTCAAGGCCTTCAGGTCATCAGGCCATTCCCAGGAGTCTGAAACCGGACGTTCACAATCCCATCATGAGCATCGACCTCTGACACCGCTACCGAGATCACTACCATCGCCCGCACCATCATCAGATCGCCTTCCCTATGACCATGACCCTCGCTATCGCAGGGCCACGTTGGCCTTTTTCTCGTACCTCTTTGGTTGGAGTGTTGGAGGAACGGGAGGCAGGAATGCAAGAAGGAGCGAAAGGACGATTAACTCAAAACAAGGTGGACGAAATGCAGGCTACTAACCACCTGGACCATAAGCCTGAAGACTTCGACCCTTTTAAGCCGCAGCCAGAGTACACACACACACACACAAAGTACATGCATCCACGTATCATCGTCAGCGTCGCTGCATGATTCTTCCAATCACCAGCGCGCACCGCCACCCACCCGCCAGCTACCACTACGCACTTCCACACACATCCACTTGTCCAGCACCAGCACCAGCACCAGCACCAGCACCATCATCATCATCATCATCATCATCATCATCACCATCATCATCATCACCATCATCATCATCATCATCACCATCATCATCATCATCACCATCATCATCACCATCATCACCATCATCATCACCATCATCACCATCATCATCCTCGTCATCACCATCACCATCATAATCTTCATATCATCATCATCATCATCATCATCATCATCATCAGGATCCACAACATCATCACTCGGCAGCTGCATCATCATCAGAATAAGTTCACACCGAATGCTGCCTCGTCAATGGCTGATCCGCTCACCGTTCTCTAAGTCTTTAAGCCTTTTCTCTGGTCGCTCAGGCCCTCGGCCGGCGAGTGTCAGAAGAAGATCAGCTGGCCAGCTTCGAGGACTTTACTGCGTCTGCTGTGCGGAAGAATAAGCTTAGCAGACCTAGCATATGGCCAAGAAGCTGTTCTTTGTGAGTGCAGATCTCCAGGCGTTGCAGCCTAATGTGCTTCCACTTCCTTTCTCTTCTCCTCATGACGTTGCATTGCGGTTACCGCTATGTACTACAACCTTGACTTCTTTCTCTGTCAGCTCTGCTTGTTGCCGGTTGATGCCATGTCTTCTACTGAGTTACTACCACTATACGCTCCTATTCAATCAGCCTTGCAATCACTCGTTGTTCATCGTTTGCAAGTGAGTCGTTCCTACCATCCTTTTCCACGACCGGTCTTTGGCTGTCAGCCTATTTATGGTCTCGTAGCGCCACGAACTACATGCTGAGGGGTCGATTATTATCGTGGTTCTGATTATGGTCATGCTTTTTCGATGAGAATAACAGCCAGCCGTCATATGATAAGTAGACGGTTTGAAACCCCTAAGCGGCCCTAAACCCTTCAGCGACAACTGAGTTGTTGAGAGAAGTAGCTCGAGGACTCGGCAGAGTCTGCTCGGCGAGAGGCTGACCCGGAGGTGCTCAGCTTTGCATCCTACTGTTCGGGTTCCTTTGCTTCAGAGCGTTTTTGGAGCTGATAGGTTTCAGTGCTCTCGGCAGCTGGATTGGTATATGCTAACTGCATTCATGGTTTGGTCCTGCAGGCTTTGCCTTATCTTTGTTGGACTGCTCCAGGTGTTGTGTCGCTTTGTGAGCACTGCTGCTACTGCTGCTGCTACTACGACTACTACTACTACTCCTACTACTACTACTACTACTACTACTACTACTACTACTACTACTACTGCTCCTGCTACTACTACTACTACTACTACTACTACTACTACTACTACTACTACATTTTGGCCCTATGCACTGGAATGATTCAGAAACATGACCAAACTGCATCTCGATGGCCAGCAGCTTCAAGCGTTTCCCGACGTCCCCACTGTTGCCCATGCCCTGGTCGCTGTTCTCCCTTTGGTGGCCTCTGTGTGCGCTTGGCCCGGCTCGTCTTCCCACATCTCTCATCGTCGCCGTCACCTTCGTCTTGTATATCCTCCGCGGTACGGAGCCGACCATCGCACATCTCAAGACACTCACGGTATCCTCCATCTCGGGCTCCGGCTCCGAGGTTGGAGGCTGGCGGTCCCGGCTCCGTCTGCTGCGCCCGGCCGTCCTTCCCACTCCTCTGACGAGCTTCCCGAAAACGCAACCACGTTTCAGGTGAGAGCGCCTGGTGTGCGTCCTGTACGTCCTCTCACTTTTCTTGGGTGGGGGGGTGGGGGGTGGGGGGGGAGGGGTGGGGGGGTGGGGGGGCTAATTCCGGCCAGTCCCGACCCTTAACTCCAAGAACTGCGGACTTCTGTTGCAAACACCCAAGCTCTACTCTCTAGTTCTGATCGAAGCCATGTTTCCTTAGGGTCATATGCCGAACACACCGGTAATTACGGTGTGTTCGGCACTTGCTACAACCCACGTCGCCCAAACCATCCATGGGTGGTTCATGTTATTGACGCAGAGCATCCATGGGTCAACCATGTTAACGTCCACTCAGACCAGATCTCATTGACGCAGATCATCCATGGGTCAACCATATTAACGTCCACTCAGACCAAGTTTGCGCAGCGCGGTGCTCGCAAAAGTGGCTATTACTGCAGCGGCAACACCTGTTTCGCTAAAACGATCGACCTGTCACAGGGATTCTCCGCCTCTCCTAGCACAACTTTTTAGTCATAATACACGTTTTCCCTAGGTTTTAGCACATTGCCTGTTTCAGCTACGCCACAAAACGCCGGTCACGTGCCAGGCGCTCTTACGGCGTTTCAACAGTCGGAAAGCATCTGCAGTTTGAGTTTTTCGCAACACACACGCAGACTACGGCTGTTAAGCACAGTCCAGCCTTTGGCTGCCGGGCCATGTTTTTTGGCAACAAACTGTCGGAGTATCAGCAAACAGGCCTACACTGACTAAGAGATAACCTAACAACGGAACCTTCCACGCATCCTCACGACGCCCTACCTAGCAGACAAACACCAAACTTCACATCAATTTCACCACATTATGCCATCCAAGCCACCTCCACAAAAGCAGGCTTCACCATGATTTGCTCTTCGCAATAGCGCGCGCAGTCGGCCTCGAGGATGTGAAGTGTGGACATACGCAGAGTTCACGCTCGGAATTGGCACTGCATACTCTCCGTGCGCTACGACAATGATGATGCTGATCATCAGCATCACAGTAGCAGCCGCAGCTACTGCAACCGCCGCCGCAGCAGTCGCAGCCGCAGCCGCAGCCGCCACATCAGATTTACCCAAAGCATCATCATCTCCATGTTCTTCTTCGCTGTCCTCATCGTCCTCAAAATAATCAATGTGTAGATCGCATCCATCGTCGAAAGGGGAGTCGTGATGAGTCGTGATGATCGTTGTAGCAGCATCATCTTCCCCTTGTTCGGTCGATGGCTTTTTTGAGCATCCACCTGCTTACTGTACCTCTTGCCGGACCTGTCGGTCAATTTTTCCCTTTCCCATTTGTCAATCTCGAGGGCATACATATACGTCCAATCGTTTGCGGTTGCACCCTAACCTTGCCGCAGGAAGATGATGACAGCCCTGCAGCGTTCAAGGCGCGTTTGCCCGGGTGGGGGTGATGTCGGAGGACGTAACTTGATAAGTATGAGATTGGAACGGACAAGGTGCGGATCGACATTGTTGGGTCATCGACTCCAAGAATCCACGGAAGCCTTAAGCCCCGAATGGCCCCGAATCCTGCACTCTGAGCCTGCGCCCTGCGCCCAGTACCCGCTCACCAGGGCCATGAGCTCCAGGATGAAGAGGCTGAGGCCATCACGGTCCAGACAGAGAGCCTCGACTTCCGAAGGGATTCAGTGCTGCCGGCAGTGACGTGTGTTGAAACGTTGAGCATGTGAGCTTCGGGTGTCTAAAGGAGGGGTGGTTCGAGACGAAGGCGTCGAGCTCCGGGATTCAAGTCAGGAGCTTCTTCCGATAGTGTTCAATCTGATGTGTAGGCCGGGCTGAAGGCAAGCTCAGTGTTGGGGCTGCTGCGGCTCCAGGTCTCGGATCTAAACTCTGCGCAGTCTAGAGCCTGTAGCCATCTGTAGCTGTCACGGGCGGGGGCAGCTCCACATCAGCGGCTCAAGCGCCCAGGATCACGGAGAAGTGCTTCCTCGAAGAGCCGCTCGCCGTGACGCCTCAACACATCGCCTTTCTGGTATCACTGCCATGCTAAACACTCCTTTTTTTCAATACCGAAGTTTTTGTTGGCTTTGTTTTGTACAACTGTCGCCACTATGTCGACTTCTGCGTGAGTTAGTTAGCTATTGATTTGTACTGTCCAGTACTAGTGTGACGACGACAACGACGTCTACCACCAGACCACTACAACCAGTGTCACAAGGGCCACGGCAGCCACCTGCCTCCGCCGCCCACACCCGCCCTACCTCACCGCCTCCACCCGCCCCCAACCCCCACCACTGTGCCGCCGTGCCCCCACAGCAACATGAAGAACAATCACGTTCCTTAGACGTTGCATCAGGAGTTTGGCTGGGACTCTGTTCGCAACCGAGAAGCTTTCGATACTTCCGGGTTTGGGCACCGACACTGGCGACCCCCTTCCTTGCCGAGGACTTACCTGAAGTTCAAGCCCGCCTCTTGCCGCGAAAGTATGTTCTTGAGAAGTTGGATGCTTCGATTTTGTGCGTCTATTGAAATCTATCGCAGCTCTTGAAAGCAGGAGATATGCATTTAACCCGAAGTCTGGCTGGGAATCAGGTCTATGAGGGTGTGATGCTGATGACCGTGCTCTCAAGACGCCTTCTCTGGGAGGACAGCTTCAAGAAGCTCTGCTTCCTGGTCCACGGATGTCAGATGATTCCGATGTCAAGTCGCGGAGAGCAGAAAGGGGGCTGGGGGGAGGGACGCCGCCGCGCGCTTCGCAACGTGCCGGCGTGTCTCTGAAGCAGAGCCGAGCGCCTCGACAGGACTTCGCCTCGATTTTGTCGAAGTTTCGGCAGAACGCCGGGAACCCAACGCAGCAAAGCCGAAGCCCTGCGGCCGCGGCCACTCCGAGGTCGCCGACCACTTCCCTTCTTTGGCCCACCTGAACAGCGACAAGTCCTTCATCACGACCCCGCTGGGGGGCCATGGCTTTTTGGGGCTGGGGCCAGAGTCAGAGAGTGCAGAGCAGACCACACTTCCACACCTTACTGCCCCACTGTTTCTCCCGGGCCGGAAGGACAGTCGGCCTGCACCTTCAGAACGTCTCGGAGCAGGCAGGATCGGACTCGGAGGGTGTGCAATCTCCAAGCCGAAGAAGCTGAGGTGGGCTTTACGGACGCGCAGCTGCTGAAAGCCGAGCACCCTGGCCGCCCATATAGGGGTCATGCGGCTTGGTCCTCATCAGGCCTAAACAGCTACGCAGATGTAGCCAAACTTAGGAAGATAACGTGAAGATGGCTTTTCGCCTTGCAAAATCCGGCAGAAGATGCCAATGTTGATGCAGTTGTGCCTTTGTCCTCGACCTTCATGGACCCCGTGTGCGGTGTGCGCCTCCTTTCCGACGCAACAGCATCTGTGCTGCGGCTTGCCACTGTGTGGATGCTTCATGACCCAAAATCGACGTAACGGCTGGTTTTGCTGTTCTACAGCGTGAACATCACGAGACCTTGTTGGAGTCAAGCATTTGGTTTATCAGAAGCCCTTGACCAGCCAGGTGCTTCTCTACTACACGCGAAAAAAGTTCCATGGCCGAGTGCATGAACGTCGGATCTGATGTTTACAGTCCGGGAATACTAGCCGTCACAACGACTGCAACAAATTGTGGTCACAACGCTTTAAAAGCAAGCCTAGCCACTGGCATCCCATTGTTAGGTACCAGCAGTAGTAGACACAGCAGGACAGGATGGTAATGATGACGAGTTTCATCGCGACGATGACGGTGGTGGCGATGATGACGGTGATGATTTACATGAGCGTGATGATGATGAGGATGATGATGTGGAAGAAGAAGATGATGCTTCTGATTTGACTGTCCTGAGACCACGATTCCACCACTGCCACAACAGTTGCCAAGTCTCTCAGTGTACGAGGAGAAAAGGTGGACGACCGAATGACCTAATGGCAAGATGGGCGAGGTGCAAACCCGACGTCCCAAACCCGAGACCCAGACCCAACGTTGTCCATGAAACTCTGGAATTCGAGCTGTCCGAGATACAAGCCGAACGCGACAGGAACTAACTTCCTAAGAGCCTAAGAGGCCCATCGTAGGCAGGACAATCAACCTGCAACTGCAACCCGACCTGGATGCGAAGGTATGAAGACTTCCAGGAACTCGGCCTTGCCGGCTTGAAGTGCCTCAGCAGACTCTCAAGAATCATGGGTGATGGCTTCTGGCTTTCAGGGAATCAGATGCAGCAGCCAGCCGTGTTCCAATGGCAGCAGGGATTCATGAGACTGACACCCACAGCCCGAGTTTGCTGATCTGTTGTCAAATCTCGATGCGTGCCTGCATGTGATGTGTCGCGCGGTCGGCAGCGCAGACTGTCTAAGAGCCCGGTATGATGGATGCTAGTATGGAAGCCAGGGAAACGGTGGCAGGTATAGTCACAGGTCCCAAGGTTAGAAAGTGCACGTTTGTCTGCGCATCCCGCCAAGCAGACCGAGGAGTGCCCGCACGCGTGCGTGTCACTCATGCGCAAGGCTTTTGAGTTAGGCTTGCCAGGACAGCTGACTTGCACCACCATCTCTACTTGATCATCGTATGCTTACTCTGAAGAGTTGTCCTGAATTCCGATCGGATTCAACGACGTCCTGGCAATAAGAAGGCATAGGGCAAAAGGGTCCTTCAGGGAGGTCGATTCTCGGTGAACTTTCGGGACTGGGGAAACTTGCGGATGACCAGGTCTCCTTGGACTCTCCAAAGCCAGTGCTCTCAGCAATGGCCCGAGTTCTCTTCGCAAGCCCTCGCAGGCACCGCCAGCGGAGTGCCAAGCGGCAAAAGGCTCTCGAGCAAATCGAGGGCTCCTCAGCCTTATTTCAGAGGCAGCGCATGCGTCCCTGTGTGTCTACGAGCTCGTACAAGGAAATTGCTACCAGTGCTGCGTACTCCAAACGAATACAAGTGCAAGTGCAATCACCACGACAATCACAACAACCACAACAATGGTCGTGGTGGTGGTGGTAGTAGTAGTCGTCGTAGTCGTAGTGGTCATAGACGAGACCAAGTCAGACGCGACGAAGCTGCACGGCCGAGGTGATTTGTGCTTCGGCATGCGGAAATTCCTGGGTAAGGTCAAGGGCGCCCCTCGATTTGCAGCAAAAGGGGGGGGGCCTTGAAGTCTGAGTGTCTCCATCTTGGCAGCTCCCAGCTGAGCCTGAAAGCCTGAGCTCTCTGAGTAGAGCAGTGATCAAACACCAGACGCTGCAACACGGCCGCATGTGCTCCCCGAAGCTCCAGGTGGAGGAGGGAGGTGGAATGGTTGGCGATCCACACCACCTTTGGCACATGTGGCAGGCCACTTCTCACCTTCGCACTGTGCTGGAGGTTTCAAGATCATCGCCAGGGCCTGTCGACCTGGGATGCCTTCCAGAGTCCAGCAATGCTTAAGCCCTTAAGCCCTGCTTCGAGTGAAACGATTGAGGCCGTACAGTCTTAATTGTGACGCTACGCCGCCCGCCTCGGCCCGCGGGATCCTAGCACTTGCTACAATATTCTGGCACACCTACTGTTGAGCATGATCGCTCTCGTCATTCTGTTTTGTTGCATTGTGTAACAAGTATGACTTGCAGCCCACGGGGTTTTGGGGAAGGGGTGTGGGAGTGGTAGGTGTAGGGTCCCTAATTTTTTGCCCAAGACGCCTGGGCCTGTGGCCTCGGCAAGTCCAACTCCAAGTCTTTTATCATCGCCCACGGTACATAGCTCCCAGTTTGGCCCGCGTGGAAGGAAGCGATGGGAGCCGTGCGCGTCATTGTGAAGGTCACCACCCAGTGCCGGGCCTTGTGGCTGTCTCAAGAGGTCTTCGACAAATTGAAAAACAGAGAGGAGAACCAATAGAGATGAGGCTTTCTTGATGGATGTGGGACCCAAGAGAGATGTTCGAAGGAGTTCAAGCTTCAGATGTGGAGTTGCTTTTGCTTTTGCTTCTGCTGGAGCGTGGAAGTTTCTCGGAAGGCTCTCCGCGTGTCAGAGAGTTGTCTCTGGTTTCGTGTCGCTTTTTGGCTTTCGCTGATGGAGTTCCTGCTTGGCTTCCATCCATCTGAGATCGAAGTTCCGCCGGAGTACGACGCAAAATCTTTCATGACCAGGCAGCATCAGGACTGCAGCGTCTTTCTTGCATGAAGGTTGCTTTTTTCCATTTCTTACACTGCAACTTGTGCCGGCAGGCTGACATACATGAATTAGACAGAGGATAGGTGCGGACGGAAGTGCGAATCGAGAGCTACTAGTGAAGGCAGCACTTGCATTCCCGGGATCGCGACAGGGCGTTGAGAGCCTCATGCTTTTGCTCGCGAATATCGGCTGGCAGCCTTTGCGCATCACGTGCTACTCAAGCCCCACCCCCATGGTCGGGAAATACCGGTTGATAGGCCTCACTTCTTCCGTCCTTCCTGCAACCTTCCTGATTCCCTCCCATTCGACAGACCCCTGCTCGTTTCAACTCGAGCCTCACACGCCGTCCCAGGGCTTCGACGAGTTTCGTGGAGGGTTGTTCCGGCTTTCAACGCGCAATCCCATGCAGGACCAGTGGAAGGTCTGCAAGGATGGCATCCCCTACATGGAAGACGAGTTCCCTTCGGCGGTGATGTCGCTGGCCTGCAGTGTGTGGAGGGCTCGAGGTCTGCTCGCAGACACCGAACCTCAAATCTTCAAATTCGAGTGGCAAGGCCTGAATTTTCACCATCAACCTGCAGTGCATTCGTGCAGTTTCCACCGACCTGCAAGAATTCCAAGGGCCTGCGCCCGCTCGGATGAAGCGCACCCAAAGTTTGGCGGTCAAGATCGGCTACGAAGCAGCATGGGGCTTCAGTGAGTTCAGGCCTAATGCCTCGGACCCTACGTCAAGCTTTCAACTGTTGTAAGAGCTTTGGTCACATGACTCCTTCGGACCTTGTGTTTCCGAGCCTCAGTTTCGTTCTTTGGGTTGTGCAGGTTTTGGTGCCCGGGCTTCTGCTTGTTTGTCTCACCGCCTCTGCTCACACTCATATCGGTAAGGCGGCATAGAGCTTGTCGTTTGGCACTCTCACATGATTAATTGTTGCATGTGTCATGGTTTGCGGCTATGATTACGAGTGTCGTTGTTGTTGTTCTCCTCCCCTTTACTTGCACATCAACTTTGATGATGGTGGTGCTCACTGTGATGTGGAGACTGCATCTACGCACAAAACAGCAAGCTCTCCCGGCTGCTGCTGCTGCTGCTGCTTCTGCTGCTTGTGATGGTGATGATGATGATGATGATGAGGAGAGTAACAAGCATGTTGAAGGCAATCATGATTCGGGTGTTGGCAGTTGGGTGATGATGCATCGGTTCAACGTTAATTGTCATCGACATTTTCACGGCAGCTACCGGTAAGAGTTACTGTAATTATTGTTCCTATCGCCGTTGCTTGGTGCGGCCACTGCTATGGCATGCCTGTGATGCTGATGACGTAATTGAAAATGACAGTGATGACGAGGTTGGAGCGGAAGTTATGACTATGGCCCTCAGTGTATCTTCTGCTACATGATGCTAGTGCTGTCGTTGTCGTTGCGGTTCTCGTGGTTGTTGTAGTTGCTGCTGCTCTTCTTGTTGCTGTTGCTCTTGGTCTTGCCGTTGACATTGCTATTGCTGTTTCTGTTGCTGCAGGTTAGTGGTGTTGGTGGTGCTGGTGTTGGTGTTGGTGTTGGTGTTGTTGTTGCTGCTGCTGCTGCTGCTGTTGTTGTTGTTGTTGTTGTTGTTGTTGTTGCAGTTGGTGGTGTTGGTGTTGGCGGTTTTGGTGTTGGTGTTGGTGTTGTTGTGGTTGTGGTGGCGGGGGGGGGGGGGGTGTTGTTGTGGCTGATGTTGATGTTGTCGTTCTCATCGTCGTTGTTGTTCTAGTTGTGGTTGAGGTGGTTGGTTTTGCTACTGTCTCTATCATGGCTGGTGATTTCGCACCAGCACTCCTTGCATCTCCTCCCTTGGGTGTTCGTGAAATCTTGTGAACGGAGCGAGCAAGCCCTAGGAACAGGGTGGTGCGCTACATGGGGTGTGGCAAAAGTCGCGTTAAAGCTGGGAACTCAGGTTGAGGGCTCTGGGGTTGGATAAGTGTGAAGCCTGGTGTGTTTAGGGATTGCAGGCTGGCAGGCCACGGAGTCGCTCGGGGCTTCGGGTGCAAAGTAAAGAGCGACGGTAGTTGACAATGAAGGCTCGTTGTTTTGGAATTTGGATTCGGGGATCCATTACGGGCTAAAGTTATGGCTGTAACGGCACAATGTAGCGGATTCGGGTTCAAGCTTGCGCGGCAAGCAGAAGCATCAGCGTCACAGCCAGACCGTACACAAGCATAGTGTGGCCATTTGCGAAAACTAGTGTTATCGATCACTGAATTCACTGAATCTCGCCACAGTTGCAAAGCCGCAGAACCGTCGCCACAGTAGCGCACTTCAAGCTACTAGAGTTACTAGAGCTACTAGAGCACGCTGTAGTGTTCTATGGGGTACCATTCGCGAATATCCTGCACATTAACTTGCAGTAAAAGTACCCTCTAGTGAGTTTATGTGAACACTTGCCAAAACACTCAAAGCGGTAGTACGTGACGGACACGAGGTTTGTTCCAGCACCCTGGTGCACTGCGTGTATTTTCGCATGTTCTAGATTGCATAGTGCCACTGCACTGTCTACCAGGTTTAGGTGCCCTATGGCATATTCTGGCCCAGTGGAGTATAGCAAGGAAGGGCAAGGTATGCGATAGTACATTCTACTTTAACCCTAAAGCCTCAACTGTATGAAAAAACCTGTTGGCCAGGTGGAGCCACCTGTCAGCCGGGTAGTCACTGAGGGTTGTCTCAGCGTCGGCGACGAAGATGAGAACGAGCTGACGGACGCATTGCTGCTTTGGGTATGGGCACTTACGTTTTCCGGCTTGGGGCTCTCAGGGTTGACATTTCAAGGGTTGGGTTAAAGGTCTAGGTTTGGGTAGTTTAGAGAATTTTGGTGGAGTTTCAAGCAAGTGATAGCTTGCTACACAAAGTGCGGAATCTAAAGGTGTAGCGTAGGTCAGATCGGGTCGCTTCGGAGAAGGTGTCACGAGGATGCTGTGCTCCGGGCTGTGACCCTCAAACAAATTCGAGACCTGCCCTCCTGCAACCCTGACATGTCTCCCTGAGTAGTTAGCAAGAGGATGCATGCTCGATTGTCGCCGACTTTGCTAGACAGGTTTTTCGTGGATTGAGTACGGCTGTTCAGGTTGGTTGATTAACATTAACACCAAGGGTCTAACTCCAGTGGTCCCTGAAAGTGCAAGGTTCCGCGATGGAGACACATCGAGAACTCCCTAAGCCCTACGTATGCCGATCCCTTGTGAGGACTTCCTGAACCAAATGTGCTCGGCACAGGGCATCAGCGACCGTTCCTGCAGGCTGCAGCTTGGAGCCGCTTAATACGGTGATTTGGAGCGGTGGAGGCGGATTTGGGGCTGAAGTGCACAGGGTCGGTTTCTCGAAGACTTCGTCGCATGTCGCAGCCCGATCGCGGAAATGTCACGCGCAAAAGAGGCTCGCAAGCTTGTGTTTCAGATTCAGCAGGCTCCAGGCCGATCGAAGAGTTTCTCGGGTTTCCTGCATAGGGAAACCTCATTTGATGCTCGTCGCGCGATTTAAGTTTAAGTGTTTAAGCTTGAAGTGAGAGCGCTGAGTTGAGCGAAGGGTTAGAATCATCATCAGCTCGAACCAACTTTAGTCACGCAATAGCTTGAACCTGAGGCTTGTACCTTGTTGCCAAGGTACGGGCCCTTCTACGGGGTCTATAGTCATCTTGCAGAAGATTTGTTCGGCTATCACTCAGTGAAGGCGCAGCCCTGGTCCTTGAGAAGAGATTTGATTGCATCTGCTACAAGCCCCAATTCACCAAACCCACCACAACACCCAAGAGTCAATTTCTGAATCAGCACTGTCTGAAGACGATTACAGGAGACCAAAAAGGTGTACATACGCTCCAAGGCATGCCTCTACATTTCCGTTGTTCTTGACGGTACTGCTACTCGTACTTGTATTCCTGTTACTGAACCGGCTTATTACAACCGGTATGTAGCTGAAGGGTGCATTTTTGTACAGTGTGTTGTTCGGGAAACGGAGCTGGTAGAACAATGCAGAAACTTCGGAAGATAGAACAGATAGGGCAGGACAGGAATAATCAAAGACAAAAACGGGCTTGAAATATTGAAGACTGAGATCATGCACACCTCAGCCGAAATACCACGATTTGAAAACTCATGAATACTGATAACTTCTGGAAGCAGGAAGACTGTCTGTTGAAGTTGCGGATGCGGGGACATTAGACAGTGTAAGACATGAAGCCAGCGTATACACATCCTATTCGCAGGCATTTACAAATCGGGGTTGAACGTGTAGGGATGATTTTCTGAAGGGGCCGCAGGCTTGGTTGTGGATTTCTTTCAACATCTAGTTTGGAGGTCGGTGGAGGGTTATGATTTGGGATACATTGTAGGAGTACTGTGTAGATCTTGGAAAGTGTTGAACTGTTGTGGATGGTTTGACATGGTTGTTTTGTGATGAGGCTCCTTGAGAATTCGGCCAAAAAGCATGGGCGGTTGCAGCAAGCGGGGTTTGGGGTTGGAAACAAAACTCCTGCGGGATCCACGTCCCGGCGCAGGAGAAGGAGGAATGCCTGGCCATCTCGGCGGCCAACCTGGAGGACCCCGCACCACCCCGTAGGCCCTAGATGTTCGATTTGCCCTACCTCTGGACCCTACGCATCGAGGAGATCGTCATGGTGCTATGTCAGAGAGCTGAGTCTTGTTTGGAGAGCGCTCTAAGAGTGCACGTGTGGTTAAAAGGAGGCTCGAAGGTTCAGCCCGTGATGGGGATTGTAAGGGCACTGACAACTGCAGCTGCTGCTGCGCTACTGCTGCTGCTGCTGCTGCGGCTGCTATTGCTTGTCGTCGTTGTTGTCCTTGCTATCTTTTGTTCTGTCAGCATTGAAGTTCATTCAGATCGTGCTTCCTGTCAACATCCCGCTTTGGGCAAAGTATCAAAGCAACCCATGCAGCAGTGCAGCAGCTTTGTGTCAACCACCTTCCTTGCATTCGTGGTTGGACATGAGGACATGTGGGCTTGCAGGAAAAAGAATATGACGACTGCAGAATGGCAACTACCAAGCATGGATAGCACACGCTGCTCTTGACATGTCTGTGTATTCTCACTCCGAAATTGCGGTAAATCTTCGCCCTACCCCATTTCATGACGAGATCGTTGCTGCAATGCGATACATTGACGATACTTTGTATTGACATGTCAGTGTTTCTGGATGCTGGTATCTCAGCAGGGAAAGATGTGCCGGTTTTGCATCTGCCCCTGCCACATTCAGGTTTAGTTTGGTGTTCTGGATTCTCATGCAAGTATCGTATTCGTAGGTCTACGTTTTGTCCAGTATTGTTGATCTTTTCCCCGATCATTGTGGTGCCAAGTGCTGCCCGGCACATGTGGGGAACGATTTTGACGGTGCCTTCCGGCCTGCCTCCCGCTCGGTGGTTCCCTGGGTGTCCTGGTCCGCGGTCCTGGTGCCCGTGGTCGTCGTGCTCATAGTCCTGGTGGTCGTGGTGGTCATTGAAGCCTGGTTGTGCCGGTTGTCTTGTCTCGTGTTTGTCTTGGTCATGGTATCTTCTTGGCGTACATGGCACGCGGCTTGAACTGTGCGTTTATTTAATCCCAATACAAGTAGTTTGTTTTCGGCCGTTCTTTCTATGACTAGTCGTCGAAGTCTCTATGTCATTGCTGGTCTGTCATTGCTTGTTTGTACGTGCATTGCAAGGCATGACCATTGAATATGCACGAATCCTGGATCCTGGGCCTTTTTCTACGAAGCAACGTTCAAACCCCTCGCCCTTCTGTTGCAGCGCGCGGCCGCGGAAGAAGAACAAGAAGCAGAAGCAGCGAGCCCATCGAAGAGAGGTCGTTTGTGGGATGTGGTGCTAGCAGGTCATGTGCATTTCGCGGGCCTGAGTAGACAGTTGGCACTAGTCAAAGACAAAGGCTTCATACTTAAATCAGCTGGCAAGCCGGGTGGGTGAGCGTTCTGTTTCCAATCCCATTCCTGTAGTACTGTCTTATGAGTTTCTCAGCACAGACATGTGAAGCTTCAGCCAGAAGCGCCTGCAGGCAAAAGTGGAAGGGGCTCCTTGCTGCAGGACGAGCAGGAGCAAGAGGACCGTCGTGCGATGGCGATGACAGCTCCAATGATGATGACATCGAAGCGCATGTAAGCCCCGAGCCTAAGTCCTACCTTTATCTTGACCACCTCCAGGAGGACGAGCAGGAGGAGTGCGCCGATCCCCAGGCATCCAGTGCACTTGCGGGCTTAGCAGCCATTGGGTTTAGAGTTTAGGTAGGGCTTAGGCAAGGTTTGGGAGAGCACCTGGATTTTTCGGCGTGGACCCCTTCCCCGGCAGATGCTCTCAAGAGAAAGCCTCTCCTGCAGAGGCCAAGGCCTTCATTGGACAGGCGAACCGCGCTATGGCTGCAGCTCGATGGCACTTCGCACGCTTGCTTGCGTGTCTTGGGGTGGAGGCTTAGGCTTTAAGCTTTGGGATGCGGGACTCGGGATGACGTCTTCGGGGTTTTGTGGGGCTCCGGGATCTGACCCGTCTCCTATGTGATAGAGAATGAGAGAGAGAGAGAGAGAGAGAGAGATATGATACTCCTGAGCTGGCAACCTTGCCGGGCCAGGAGTATATCTATGGACTGACGCCGCCTCTGACATACTCGCGATCCCGAGCGTGGTACGGGAAGGCCACGAAGCTTAAAGCGACAAGCCGTGAGCCCAGCACTCCTCCCTGACACTGCAATTTTTCTGGGTTGTTCGGGGTGTATAAACCCGCGTTTCCAGCTAGGAGGATACAAAATCTTGGAAGGCGTTCCAGGGACTGAGGTTTCCTGGTACCGTCGTGCTCAGAATTTCGTTTGTTGAGGCACGAGGGGTCGACGGCAACGCTGGGTGGGCTTGAAGGTCCTGTTCATCCTGTGCACTACAGCTGCTCTGAACCCAAATCCGAAACATCCGAGACCGTGATCTTGGAAGCTTTGAGCATCGGTTCTTCAACTCTTCGAGGCCATATTTGAAGAACCCAAGGCCGAGAGGCCCCGAGGACCCCGGAAAAAATCCTTGAAGCATCTTTTACCGAGGCTGGGACCCGAAGACAATCGACTGGCCACTCCCGCAGGCCTGGATTTACAGTATATGCCATAATGTCATACTATATTGTAGGACATCATATGAACATATATTCTGGTATAGTCTATGGTACTCGTTTTTTCTGATGATTTCTGATGTCATATTCTATGATATGACTGAGTAGTAGGGTGCTGGCTTCGGGTTATCGCGGTCCTCCTACTTCGACTACCACCAGACCACTCTGACGATCGATTCCTATTTCCGAAAATAGGGGACCCCAATATAATACACGTACCCCAAATAGTAGGATCCACCCCATCGAAATAGGAGGCATATGATTTTCAGTGGCCCGGCCTACTGGCTTGCAGAATTCACTCGCAGCCTAGCCCTGCCCGAACTAACACGCAGCATTCCGAATGCTCATTGCAAGTCGGAGGAACGACAGCTGGATCCACCCCTGTCAGAGATCCTGCGCGAGGCAGGAGCTGCAGAATTTGGAGAAGCAAAGCATTTCCCACCTCAAAATGAGCTTGAATCAAAGGTTCGAGGTTACGGGCTATGTGTACAAGTAACCTAGATCAGAATACTGCCAGTGGTTTAATCATGGCAACAAGAATGGCAACAATGCAAAGATCACTAGTTCCTGCTACTACTGCTGCTGCTGCTGCTACTGCTACTACTACTACTACGACGACGACGACTACTACTACTACCACCACTACTACTACTACTACTACCACTACTGCTACTGCTACTACTACTACTACTACTACTACTACTACTACTACTACTACTACTACTACTACTACTACTACTACTAGTACTACTGCTGCTGCTACTACTACTACTACTGACCTCGATGCCTAGTCTAATTCGTTTGCGTCGCAAGCACAATGTCATGGGCTCCCATGCACAGGCTCCGGTTTGCGGACCTTGACCCATCATTTCTATCTTGATGCTTGCCGGACCATGCAGCAGTGCCTACCATAAGTGCTCCGCACACAACGCAACTGTGGCTCAAGACTATGCTTCGGCATAGTAAACTATTTGCCATAGTAGCAAGAAGCTAGTGGCCTGTGTACGACCAAGAGGATTCGAGCCATTGCCCTTGCACAGAACTCGTCGCACATTTCTGGCGAGAAAACAGTCGGACCGAGTTTGCTTGCAGGGAGTGCTCAGGGTGTTGCAGACCAACTACAAATTTACAAGGCAAACCACAACTACATCAATACGCTCGGTGAGGTGAGCACACGTACAGTATCATCGATACCAAACCCTCACGCTGCTACTACTACTACTACTACTACTACTACTACTACTGCTACTACTACTGCTACTGCTACTGCTACTGCTACTGCTACTGCTACTGCTACTGCTACTGCTACTGCTACTGCTACTGCTACTGCTACTGCTACTGCTACTGCTACTGCTACTGCTACGACTACTACTACGACTACTCCTACTGCTACTGCTACTGCCGCTGCCGCTGCCGCTGTCGCTACTGCAGATCATGACGATGAAGCTGATGTTGACGCTGGTGCTGACGCTGGTGTTGCTGCTGGTGATGATGATGATGATTGATCAACATATGTCGTAAGATCAGTATAAACCAAGAACATGGTGGCCAGGCGGAAGCTGGAGAGGGCCTCATGATGATTAGTTACGGCTACTCGGGTGCCGGCAAGACGACGACCCTGCTGCTTGTGGGCACTGGTGGGTGATAATTTTTCGAGCTTGAACGTAGTCCATGGTTCAGACTCGTTGTCCGGGCTGTTGACTGCAAAATCTAAGCGGCCCTGACTGTGATTGAAAACTACTCGGCTCCGATCCGGGGTTGTCGCAGGTACCACAACTTTGAACCGATCTATCATACTGTGGCAGATCTTGTTCCGCTTTGATGCTGTTTGTTTTCCAGTAAACACATCCTGAGGATCGGTGATGCCACCGCCCCGCTCGGCGGGGGCCGGGGCATTGACGGCGTACTCTCAGTCTACCTCAAGGAGAGCTGATTGATTTTGGGGTCGCTGGTGCTGAGGTTATTGATGCATAACAGATTCGACAAGAGGTTTCGATGGGGTTCAGGACGATGTATGGAGACTTTGGGCTTGAAAAACACGATTGCGTGGTGGGCATGTGAGCCCGAGAGCTGTAGATGCTTTGTTTGCGTCTGCATTGCCATCAACTATCAACCCAAGCGAAGCTACCTTGACAAGCTTAGACAGGTATGAGGTTCCGAACTGCAGCAACGCGTTATATCTGTTAGCAGTGACGGGATCCTCGCCTGACATGACTCAAAACTCGGGCTTCGTGCAGGGCACGTAGTAGCGTAGTAGCAGAGACAAGGCAACTCCACAGTGCTTCTGAGCTCGGCAGTGCAGGTTCCTTTCGATTCAGTATCTCGTGCGGTCATCGTCTTTCTGGCTGCGAAATTCTGTAGTATCCTCACCTACGTGGTCACGCATTTGTGGAGAAATTTCTTCCTTGCCCAGGTGAGGGCTGTAGTTCTCTGTCGTCGGTTTGTGTCGCTGCGTTGGTGGGCACTTTAAGCCTTGTCGCCACCTGCGTGGCCTTCTGTGAGGCTGGGGTGTCCCGGGCATCATGGGGGAGCAACGGCCCGTCTCAAAACGGAGTCTCTCAGCTCAAACTCCCGGAGCACCCTTCTCCCCGAATCGGCCAGGAGAACGCCCACAAGATCGAGGATCGCGAGACGGGGAGAGCGCTTTTTAGAGTGTTTTTGTATATGTTTGTTGCGCATGTTTTTGGGGAGGCGTGTCTCGTCCTTGCGCAGACTTCGGTTTCAAGTTTGAAATTTTGGCATTGATAGGCTAGCCGTTGCAGTGTTTCACAACGTTGATGGTGAAGAGGAGGAGGACCACCAAGGCCTCAGGGTGTGAATCGCTGCAGCCGTCAAGGGGGTGTGCAAAAGATCCTGCACTCCTACATGGTCCCGGGGTCGAAATGCGGAGAACATGGTCGTGATGGCTGCGAGAGCCTTTTGCCCGTAATTCGCTCTCTCGCTCTCTCGCTCTCTCTCTCTCTCTCTCTCTGTCTGTCTGTCCGTCTGTCTGTCTGTCCGTCTGTCTGTCAGCCAATTTCAACAAGGAGGCAGCCCAAGCAAAGCACCCGAAGAGCGAAATCAAAGCTTTCTCGCCTCCAGGACGTGAAGGTGAAAATCTTCGAGGCCGCCAAGTTAGGGCCGAGAATGGCACGAGACAGGGGTAATGAGGAGTGATGGTGATGACAACGATGACGAAAATTACAGCGAAGATGGCGATGATGACTTGGTCGTAGTTGCGAGTTACAGCAGTCATTAGTCATTCCGTCTTCCTAGTAGCCGTAGTAGCAGCAGTGCGAGAAGCAGGAGCTGTAGCAGCCGGAGCCGGAGTAGGAGGACCAGAGCCGTAGCAGCAGCAGCAGCAGCAAAAGCAGCAGCATTAGCTACTCCTCGCCCCGCAGGGCTGATCTTAGTCATAGTAGTTGGAGTAGTGTTAGTAGTAGCAGTAGCAGTCGTAGTAGTAGTAGGAGAAGTACAAGCAGTAGTAGTAGTAGTAGTAGTAGTAGTAGTAGTAGTAGTAGTAGTAGTAGTAGTAGTAGTAGTAGTAGTAGTAGTCGTAGTCGTAGTAGTAGTCGTAGTCGTAGTCGTAGTCGTAGTCGTAGTCGTAGTCGTAGTCGTAGTCGTAGTCGTAGTCGTAGTCGTAGTCGTAGTAGTAGTCGTAGTAGTCGTAGTAGTAGTAGTAGTAGTAGTAGTAGTAGTAGTAGTAGTAGTAGTAGTTGGAGTAGTAGTAGGAGTAGAAGAAGAAGTAGTAGTAGTAGTAGTAGTAGTAGTAGTAGTCGTAGTAGTAGTTGGAGTAGTAGTAGGAGTAGTAGAAGAAGAAGAAGAAGTAGTAGTAGTAGTAGTAGTCGTCGTAGGACTAGTCGTCGTGTAGTAGTCGTAGTAGTAGTTGGAGTAGTAGTAGTAGTAGTAGTAGTAGCTTCAGCTTCAGCTTCACTCGCAGCGAGGAGAGTCCTGTCGCCAAGCGTCGGGAAAGAGCAGGCATATTCAAATGCCCGGAGCTATAAGCTCATGATACGATTGATCATCTCAGAAAGTACAGGTATCAACACACACCGTTCCGTGGAACATTATGTGCTAGCATGTGTGTCGCCAGTGTGTGCCAAACCTTCATCGGAAGATGTGGCAAGAGCAGCATCGAGACTGTAGAAAAGAGCATAGCCAGTTTTAGTGGGATGTCGCTCACCCCGCATGGTTTTCACTTTGGCTGCTCTGCCATCGTCACAGCTCCATGAGCCCTCATCGTTGACCAGGGTGGCCGTATAATGTCCTGAAGTGGGTGTGGCTCCATGGTGTTCAATGAATGCTTTGAGCTTGTATGAACGATGCGACAGATTGTGCCTGTCCCCAGAAAAGAAAGGCATTTGGATCACGTGGTCCAGCTGCACCTTAAGGTGATTTTTGAGTACACGATCACGCTGTTTGGTGAAGCGATGAAGCTGAAGTAGGATCACCGGGGGCGCGACTGTCAGACCATGTATCCTGTCAATTCCCCTGCACCAAGTGTCCACCAAGGATTGAATCCTAAGTGAATTGGCCGATGGCGTAGGGTAGGTTGAAGGCATGTGAAGAACAATGGATTGAGTGCACTGCCCTGTATCCACAAGCTGCGTCTCCCCTGCCATGGTAGGCAATCTTGCCTGCCATGTGCCTTGGAACAAGCCATAGTCATTCTTTTGCAGCATGTGTTCAAGGAATTCACACACATCATGTTGACGATGGACCTCACCCCAATCATCGATCAGCGTTAGCCACCGAGGATCATCTGTCAACCTGTGGGGTATAGGGAGACATCTCGCGAATACATCTTGGAACAAAGATGCACCTGTACCACAAAGGAGTGTTTGCGGTAGTCGAAGTTGCTCCATAAGCCATGCCAGGACCTGAAAGGAGGAATTCATGTAGCATATAGAGCTGTTGTTACGCAGGATAATCTGGGTCGCAAACCGCTGGGCAGCAGTTACCTCCTGCCATACACCATCTCCGCGATCTTCTGCTCCACTGGCCCTCTGGCCAGGCTTTCCGTCTTGTAGGCCATTCCAGCAAGTTGGAAAACCGCATTCCCTTGCAACATCTTCAGAGTGTCCCACATCGTCAGAGCACTGTGGCTTCGAACTGACATGTCTAGTTTGAAGGTTGCTGGGCTGGACATTGTTTCTGTTAATCTTCTCGTGCATCGAAAGCGGTTGACGATGGGCTGCCGAAGGCATTGAAGAATGGTGGCGAAGTGGTCGAGAAGTTTGTCTTCCGGAATCGGTGGTCGGCTGGCATCGACCTGGAGTTGTTCGGTTTTGTGGTTCCAAACTTGGTATCTCCAGCCCGCTTGTGGATCTCGCCATCCTTGATCCACCGCTCTCTTCAGCTTTTCCTGCGAAGCAATGGTCTGGTTCAGGCGGTCCGTGACTTCCTTGAAGAGTGCTATGGCCAAGACCATGCGAAGAGGATTCTGTCCCAGTTGCCATGTGGCGTCCTGCTCCTGCTTGGCTTTGAAGTGCGCCGCCACTTTGTAGAGGTGGTGTAGCACGTTGTCCTCCCCTGGGCGAAGAAAGAGCACCAGGGCCGTGTCTTGTTTGAGGACCTTGAGCTCCTCCTGCTGTTGTAAGACCGTTTTTGCTAAAGAATAGAGCAATGGGTCTCTGACTGGAGTCCGTGGTGGTGGTCCTTGAAACGGGTGCCGTCGCATGTTGTGCGGTACCGGTTGTTGCTCTCCAAAAGGGTTCCGCCGTCTTTTGTTGCCCGTGAACGTGAAGGGATTGTCCGTTGTCGGTTGGGTCCATGGAGCAGCATTCGTCATCGGCAAGTCCTCCCCGTGGAGTTCGCCAAAGAACTCGTCCCAGTCCGGGTCCCCGTAGGCCATATTCCTCGTGCAACACGCATAGAAAGGCACATTGCCAGAGTGTGGTGCATTTGAGCAAGTGGGCCTTCCAGTCTTTGGTCTTGCGGTGGCAGAAGTGGCACTGTACACACGGAGTGGCTTTCTGCTCGATGAGCTTGATTGCTTTGTGTGCAAGTTGTTGATAGAGGAATTTATGTGTATGCTGGTAGTGTGTCTTGACAACCTTTTGTGAGGCTATCCACTGCCCACATAAAGCACAGGACTGTTGCATGGAGGCTGTGAGGCTTGATTCGGCAATGAAAGCGTTCAGTCCGCGCTGCACAACAAGATGAACACGTTCTTGAAAAAGCACTGGTGCATGTGTAGGTAGAGCAAGAGCAGTCTGCTTCTCAGGAGGTAAAGTAGGCTGTGAGGAGGTACCGCAAGAAGGCACGGCTGCAACTTCGTTAGTATGGTTTGAACCCAACTCGCACTGCAGCTCGGGAATGTTCTCGGGCTGAACGGCTTGCAGTTGCAAGCCCTCGACCGATTCCGCAATCATGGTCTCAGAGCACTGGACCCCTGCTGGTGCTGCAGTGACCTCGGTTGGGGTACTTGTCGGCTTTCTCGGCGTGGATATTTGCTCAGGAGCTGACTGCAAGGTTGGTGAAGCTGCGGTTTCATGCGGATTGGATGGATCCGCAGTGGGGTCCTGGGTCCATGCAGTTTGGACCGTGCAAGCATCAGTATTGATGTGGGTTTCGAGCGACTGCCATTTGCTGAAGCGCTTGAAGCAACTAGCACACTGAGGTAGCCCACCAACTGAGTGCACGAGGCGGTTGAAGATGTTCTTCCGCTGGGCCACAATTTTGTGCGCTCGTCTGGCATGGATTTTGAGGGCTGCCTGTGTGATAAATTGTTCAGAACATAGCGGACAGGCCCAAATGGCCTTCTCGGTGTCGGATTCGGGCTCCTTGGTTTGTGCCGCCTCGAGCAGAGCCTTGGAGATAGACCGGTTCCAGTCTGAATCCACTATCCAATCACTCGAGTCCGCATTGAGCTGTTCGCGCTCATGTGCTCGTTCAAGAAGTTCCTGCGCAGTTTGAATGTGATACTTTATCATGATGTCCTCGTGTGTATGTCCTGTGAGAAAAGCCTGGTCCGAGACGATAGCCCTGATGTGTCGCATGAGGGCTCGTTGTAGCAAGCAGATCTGTCCTGCACCAAGACACAGGCTGTGGAGGGCGTACAACATAGTGGAAAGCACGCAACTGCGCCAGAGGTTGAGCTTGTAGGAAATCGAGACCTTCTTGGTGTGGAGAATCGAGGCCAGGGACCATCGACGGTTATGAGCCTTATTGATTCTGTGCTTGACAGATTGTAGCTCAAAGTTGTCATAAGAGATGATCAGACCTAGGTATTCCACCTGGTCCACCAGTTGGATCCATCCTGAAGGGTCACCTGGGGAAAGAAGCAGTCTACGTTCTTTACCGTGAGATCGAATGTAATGTTTCCGGATGTGGTGCTTCATGTGTCCCGTAACTCGGAGGATAGCCTTGGTCTTGTTGATGTTCACCTTCATTCCCAGTCTCCTGAAGACAGCTATCACTCTATTGAGCTCATGAATGGCTTGTTCGAAGCCTTGAAGACTGTGAAAAGTCCATTGAAGGTGCGTGTCGTCCGCGTACATCGTAGAGTGGTCAGAACTCCACGTGTCCTCTAGGCGTTTGTCAATTGCTTGGCTCAGCAGAGCGGTAAAAGCAGCCCACAGGACAGGACTCGCGATACATCCCTGCCTCAATCCCCATGAGGGCCAGATGTCTTTCTCCATTCCCTTGTGCTGGAATGTGTAGCGAACCTGACAGAGCCACTGCAGTAGAAGCTCCTGGATGCTGGGGTTAATCTGTGCCATTTCCATGGCTTCCTTGATAGATGCCCATGATACAAGATCGAAAGCTGCAGATAGATCCATGCAAATTTGGAGTCCTCCATAGTTCCGGATGGGGTGTTCGCCATCCTTGAGCTGATGTAAATTCAGACGACTTTGATTGCATGCTTGACGTACCTTGGCACAGTGCTTGAAGACCCTTTTGAGCGCCGTGGTAGTGCTCCTGTTGGGCACGTATGCGCACTGCGGCCACTGTCGGACCATTGCATGTATTTGGTCCTTTGCCTGTGCTATGATGATCTTCATGATGCCCTTTCCAACCGGATGCTGCAACCCAATTGGCCTCCAACTGAGGGGTGTGTCGTTTTTACTCGTAGGTTTCGGTAAGAGAGCAACTGTGGCGTCGGCCCATTCTTGTTGTACCTG